GCCCCTGTGGAATATGTTTCAGAAAGCAAATGGGATAGTTCACCCAAAAAATTTAAGTTATGTAATCTTTTATTCACCCTCAAGTTGTTCAAAACAAACCTGTATGAATTTCTTTTTTCTGTTAAGAAGATATTTTGAAAAATGGGTAACGGAACAAGTGATCGGCCCACTGACTTTCATAGTATGGGAAAAAACATAGTAGGCCTATTACCTTCTTAGAAGAACAAATGAAATTGCAAAACATGAATAGATTAGTTTAAGACAGTATTTTTTAATTTAAAAATGCAATACAGTCCAATGCATAATAAATTAGCACGTAAGACTGGTGCAAAAATCTACAACAAAAAACATTCCTAGAAAACGATGGTGTTTCATGACTATGTTTGCATAAATTCTTTGACCACCCCAATTTACATTTTTTGTCAAAAAATGACCCTCTGATAAGACATTCTCCCTTTAAACCAACATTTTGCATTATTTTTGCATCATTTTCTCACTGCGGCAACTTTGGGCAATGCTTTTTTATATGATTCAGTAGATGACTTGACTGGCAGAAGGCCCTCCCACATGAAGGGCAGATGTATGGCTTCACTCCTGTATGAATTCTCTCATGTTTTTTCATAGATCCTGACTGCGAGAAACTCTTTCCACAGTGTGAGCACTTGTGCGGTTTCTCTCCAGTGTGAATTTTTTGATGGTCTTTCAAGTGACTGGCTAAATTAAAGGCCCTTCCACATTCAAAGCACACATGAGCTCTCACATTGACATGCAATTTCTGGTGTTCTTTAAAATGGTCCATGCGTGAATAACTCTGTCCACAAACAGAGCACAAGTAAGGCTTATCATTTGTATGGATTCTTAGGTGTCTTTTCAAGTGAGCTGCAAACATAAACTTTTTGCCGCACTGATCACAGTCGAATGCTCTTACTCCAGAATGGGAAAGCTGGTGATCTCTGAGATTCCTTGGATCTGTGAAACACTTGCCACACAGATGACATTCAAAAGGCTTCTCTCCAGTGTGAATCCTCATGTGAATCTTAAGGTTTCCGTTTTCTGTGAAGCTCTTTCCACACAGAGGGCATGGGATATTTTGTTTGGCTCCTGCTTTGTTTTCAGTCTGTGAGAAACTGGAAGTATTTTGTCCTGATATCAAATTATTCTTCTCCACTTTGCTCAGTTCTTCTTGGGTTTCAACCAGGTCTAAAATGAGCACATCATTTATCAATTGTCAAAAAATTCATTAAAATGTGAAAAAATTGCTTTTATGAGATCTCTGCCATTCTCTTTTTAGTGGATTTATGATTTATTAGGCTACACCACTGCTTAAGATCTATTTACCGATCAGATTAACTGACTTAGATTTTTTAATGTCAAGAAAATCAAGAAAACTAACCTTGTTCTTGTTCTTCAGTATCTTTACTTTTCCTTTTGCGTGGTCCGGAATCACTCGTGCACATACTTTCCATTCTTACACGTAGGCCTACGGTTGCCTGATGGTACCGTACTGATCATCAATGTAGGCTATTATTTATTACCGAATTGTTGTGGGAGTGTCTTGAATTCAAGTTTCGAGGTGTCCATGAGCAAAACACCTACCTAACCCCAGCTGCTCCCGACGAGCTGGATGGCGCCTTTGTATGGCTGTCGTCGGTGTATGAATGAGTGTGTGAATGTGAGGCAAAATGTAAAACGCTTTGGTGGCCATTGGCCCATTTGAATCTGTGAATTGCGACCGCAAGGTGTGAATGGACGATGTTTGTGAGTTTTTGTGTAGGCCTAAATTGCTTTTTAGACCATTCTTACATAGGCTATCAATCGATTCAACGCGACCATTTAAGTAGGCCAATCGATGTTTGTTTGCAGCCAGGGCAATAGATGCTAAATGTGTTTGGGCGGGAATTATTTTCATTTAAAACGGCAATTTCAGTTTACTTTTAAATGTAATATGTCAATTAATTTTGAATGTTTAAAAAGTAGTTATACCGAATACCGTTTTGACTGAATAATAATTACAAAAATTGGGTCTACAACATTTTCATTTACTCACATGTTCACAACCTGTCTAATTTCTTCTGTAGAACACAAAACCTGATATTTAGACTTTCCCCCACTCAATGAGTGTTGGTTTTGGGACTTGAGATGAAAACATTTTTGTATTATTGTTGTTGATTTTTGCGTTTGACAAAAGAACGTCATAGGCTACCAGTTTGGAGCGACATCAGTTATGACTTTCTTTTTAGGCAAGATCTTATATAAGATAATTAAAATAGGCGTACACACACAAATAAAAGGAGAAACTAATTAATACACACAAAACCACATAGTTTAGTTTATTATCACAGAACCACAGTAAAACTCCACATGATAATGCTAGAGAGTCACTGCTTTACCATGCTGATGTACAATGACCACTCAACCACTTGATCTCCTTCAAAGCATGAACAAGAAAAGGCACCACTTCAGAGTTGCGAGTCCCAGTTCATAGGTTATGAATATTCACACGATTGGATCAATTAATTGGATCAACTATTAACACAGTGATCTGGACATTTTTCACCTTCATTTGAATCAGAGTGTGTCTGTGCTTTAATCTTATTTTCAAACACAACGGAAATGTGGGAAGAGCCATGAAGGCTTCTTTGTTAAACAACAGTAATGATTTCTGACTTCATTGAGCACCATGTAGGAGAAAGTCTGTCATTAATATCCAAATTGGTCATCTCTACACAATACTCATCAGTGTCCCGTCATGCTCATCACACTCCTTGAGAAAATATGCTCTAGCAGCATCCGCCACCTGACTGTTTCACTGGGGTGCTTTCAATTTTAAGATCAGGTTTCTCGGAACCCCCTGAAGTCCCAGGTCTCATGCGCTTCTTTATTTCCTCTGCCATGGTCATGAAGGCCTGCTCCACGTTCGTGGCATTTTTGGCACTCGTCTCAAGGAACGGGATGCCAAGAGAGTCAGCGAACTCCTGCGGAGAAAAGTTTTTTTCAGAAGAGTTAATACAAAGGCCTGGTTTCACAGAAAGGGCTTACATTAGCCAGGACTAGGCCTTAGTTACATTTAATATTTAAGTAGCTTTAAACAAGCATTAGCATCTTGAGACAAAACAATGGCACTGGCATATTTTAAGATATGTCATTGCAAGTTACTTTCAGTTGAAACAGCTCAAACATTCATTTTAGTCTGTGAAACCGTTTGGCATAGAAATAACAGGCTCCACGTTTGACTAGTCTAAAGAGGAAGTTTATTATACTGCCCTACCAACCAACCTTAGCTGTAGTGTAGTCCACAACTTTTTTTGTAGTGAGGTCACACTTATTTCCTACAAGTAATTTGTTGACATTTTCACTCGCATAGCGATCGATTTCCTTCAGCCACTGTTTCACGTTGTTGTAGGATTCCTGAAAAGGCACCAGCATAAACTTACATTTCAGTTCAGCTCTAAATCTTTAACCAAGCAATAGCCATATAAATGTTTCAATATGGATGCATTTTTAGAAAGGCGTCTCACAAACCTGATCCGTAACATCATACACAACAATGATCCCGTGAGCTCCTCTGTAGTAGCTGGATGTAATCGTGCGGAATCTCTCCTGTCCAGCGGTGTCCCACTGTAAACATGGACGGGACTCAGTTTATCTGTGGTTTCACATTAAATTACACACTTAATTTTAATTGTAATGTCTACAAACTCACTATCTGCAATTTAATAGTTTTTCCATCCAACTCAATTGTTCTGATCTTGAAATCCACTCCGATCGTGCTGATGAAACTCTCTGTGTAGGTGTCGTCCTAGAAGAGAAGAGTCAAGAAAGAACACAAGATCAGATATCGTTCATATCCAAAAATATCCAAAAATGCTGTTAAGAAAACACTTACTGCAAAACGCAAGAGAATGCAGGATTTTCCAACTCCAGAATCTCCAATCAGAAGAAGCTTGAATAAGTAGTCACTGGAGAAATATGCAAAGATAAATATAGATTCATTACAGTTGATATACGTGTATAGGTGTAGCTTGAATAAGAAGTCACTGGAGAAATATGCAAAGATAAACATACTACAAATTCACAGAAATATGCAAATATAAATATAGTTTCATTACAGTTTATATACGTGTGTATATAACTTAGTCCTGTTTAATGAATACCTATCACACTTTTATTCACAGAGCAACTGACGACGTTGCAGTCAATTTATTATTTAATTAATAAAGAAATTTTTCAACAATTGCAAATAAAATTTGATTGACTCGTCAACGAAAGGTTTAAAATATTATTAGGCCATCCTAGATGTTCATATATGACGGTAAGACGACTTACTATTCAGGGTTCATGATGTGACAGCAAAGGGATTGTTATTGTTTGTCCAGCTGGTAGAAGCGCTCTGGGTCGCTTACTGTTCACCGGCTGACCGCAGTCTCTGGGCCAGTATTTAGCCTGGAATAGTAGCAAAAAAGAAAGATTATCTTTGTTAAGCCTTTGTGCGCCGTTTCCAGATTTCCTTGCAAAATTAACCCAGTCTGACTTTCCGCCACCTCTCTTCTCTCAGGTTTTTACAAGCCGCGCAGGTGCGGCAGTGACGGATGAGGATGCGCCGCTTTTCTTATCCGCTTTCGCCGCCTAGTGGTAGGATCCATCCATTCAAATATAATGTTGTAGCCAGAATTCACATAACAGAAACGTAAAGTTTGCTTGTTCCCTGTGGTTATAAAATATGTTGGTTTTGTAAATCAGCTGATACACGGCTCAAAAGTATGTCTTCGTGTTGTTTTTGCCCCTAACTGGTTTCCAGGGCGTTTTGCGGTTGCAAAGAGGTTTCTGTGAATTGAAACATCCCCAGTCTCAGGATGATTTGATGACCCTGACTAAAGATATTCGAGCTGCAAAAGTAAAACGTTAGAGTTTGATTAATTTGTCGTCAAATGGGATTGTTGTAAACAAACAAAAAACGATGTGTTTTATCCAGAACAAAAAATCACTTTATACAACACTAATTCAAACATCATACAACCTTTATTGAACAAAACACTCTCAATCTTACAATAGGAATGAACATATTTAAATATCAAAAGAGTATAGTCAGACAAAATACTTTTTGTATCTATAAAACAATCCATAAATATGTTTCATTTTGTTATCTTTCAAGGTTTAAAACTGAAAAATACAGGTTTAGATATATAAAAAGCCCCTTTTCAAAAGGTATTAAATATCTAAAGGCACTACAATGCATTAAAATTGTATGAATACATTCATTTGTAGACACATTGTCTGATAAACGATCAGAGAATACATTTTGCAGCTAATACAAGACAACAGCCCAGCAGAGACATTTTGGCATACCAGGAAACAACACGCTCAAATAAATAATGTAAAAACAGCAAACTTTGGCGCATTTCTCTTTGCCTGTTCGATACATCTTTAAAGAAAGTCAAATCATCTGGATCAAAGTTTTTTTTAAAAAAAGACAAGAAACAATACTTTCCCAATAAAACTTAACAAAGGAGAAGAAAAATCCTACTCGCTGCTGTAGAAGAATTCTATTGGTTATTGAGCACTGTTTTGTTTGCTTCAGCAAAAATTTATAAAATCCTGATGAAGGTCACATGATAAGTCTCAATAAATATTTTTATTTTGCAATCTACAGCAGTACGAATGATTTTTCTCTTTACTCCCTTTTATTTATTTATTGTGTTCACTTCATTTGTCTGTAACCATTCAGGTATGTGAAGGTTTTTTTTTTTTATAGTCCAATAAAACAATAAAGACCTTTTCAGATTTAAAGTAATATTGCTTATAACATCAAGCTCTTTAGCAATGCAACCTGGGAGAACCTTCAAATCATTGTGCAAACTTTCAGGGTATAACTAGTATGATCCACACTGGACATGTTATACATCCCACTGATGTCACTGAGATCTTGAAGATGTTTTGAGGAAGGGCTTAACGTTGAAGCCAAATGTCGTTGGAAGTTAAAACAAGGCACACTAATGTCCTGGTGTAGTCAAAGTCATCTAGATTTTCTCTTGTGCAGTGAGCCTCAGTTTTCATATGAAGTCTTTATTGAAGAACACACTTTTCCTTATTGCTGTATTTTCTACGTCTTGCCTCCAGACCTTTCTGCAGTCTTTCATCCTCCTCCAAAGCTCTGCACATACAAAATACACAGAGTGAAAATTAAAATCACATAACCTATTCATAATTTTTACCATGCCAGTGCCACAAAACACAATCGCTGCATCAGGAAATCGAATACTTCCCTACTATATAGGCTAGTATGCCAAAAACAGTAGAACAATCGAAGACCAACTGCTCCTGGTGAGGCATGCATTCAATGGACACATTCGTATCACATGCCATGGGAGAGAATTTATGAATGTCAGTGAAGCGACGTAACTGACGCTGGAAGGTCACATGATAATGACAACATGGAGGATTTATTACATCCGGATTACATTCATAGCACACACATTCATACTATATTGAACATACTTTTTTTGACGGTAGCCAAGTTCAAATTCAAAGGTAGTACCTGTTCAGAGAGTACGTGATTTCAGAGGCACAGAGTGATGTGTGTGACTAGACTCACCCTCTCTCTTTTGCGTCCATGTCTCTAACCAGCTCGTCCCGCTTGTTGACCAGTGACACCAGCTCCTGCAGGAGTAGCTGTTCTCTGTGCTGCTGGGCCTGAGTTTTCTGCCAGTCTGAGTAATGGAATATGAATGTGAGTGATGAAATACTGACTACTGAAGCTGCAGCCACAAATGAAAATAGGCAAGTAAAGGTTTAAAGTAATAATAGACCAATATATGGGCCAAGCAGGGGAAACTTTTACGCTAGATGTGAAATGTGATCGTTTTTACAGCACAAATGAAACAGGCTGATTTCATTTTTATAATGCTTTATTTTAAAGGGATACTTCAGGATTTAGCATTAAGCTTTGTATTAGTAGAAAACGTGTAGTATTTTCAAATTACCATGCTTTCCACCCTCATATCCCCCTTTTGAGATGAGAGATTCATGTATTTTTTGTCTGGCAAAAAAATCCTCAGATGACGCGATAATCATACTACATGAGTATTAGGGATTACCATCCTTTTTTTCCTGGACATGTCCGGGATTCAGCTTTTGCTTTCTGCAGTCGCCATTCATTGTTTACATGCACACGTTTCGTTTCAATCTAACTGAATTCATTCTGATTGGTGAATTTGAATGTAGTGTTTACATGAACACTAAACAAGTGATCGGTTGATGTTTGTTTTAAAATTCCCACTCGTCTCACAGGTGCCGCTCACGCCACCGGCCTCGCGCCGTTCTCCCGCGGCCCTCACTCGTCCTGCTCGCCACAGTAAACATGATAAACGGCGACTGTAGAACGCAAAAGCCGAATCCCGGACATTTTGGGCGATCTCGAAACACATTTTTGAGCAGACTCATCACAGAGACTCACTAGTTGCCTAGACTTGTTGTTTAACTACTGCGCTCTGTTACCGGTAGGCGTGGCCTCCTAGGGCAGCGAAGCAAGTGCATCAATTCATCCGCATAAGCCAAAAATACCTTTTCTGGCTTTTCTCAGTTTAGAAAGCTCAAAATTCTAAAATAATTTCACACTTCTTTTACATAAATGACCCATTTTAAATACACATTAATCTTTCCAGAGGTGAAGTATCCCTTTAATTTAACGTAATGCTTATCTATAATAGAATTAAAATGTCGAACATGTATTGATTACCAGCCATAACTAATACATTTTGGATTGTTATTATTAAATTAATTTTATATATTAGAATTATCAACATCAGCCAAAAATATGATTGTATTATTGAGCTGTGACTGTCCAGTGTTTCCATCTTACCTTCAATAGCCATCATGGCTCTGAGCTCTCGGTTTAGCAGCTCAAACCTTCTTTCTAAGTCCTGCTCTTCTTGCCTGCAAGGATAAGATCATTAATGTTTATCAGTGTGGACTGACATATCACTTGTGAATGCGACTATGAGAGTAAGATTATCAGGACATACAGCAGCTCCAGATGGTCTTGTCTCCTTATCAAAGCATTCTTCTTGTTGACCAGAGTGAACCACTCCTGAATCAGCTTCTCTTCTTCATCTTTATCACTTCCTGTTAAAAAGAAAATCATGAAGTATCATGCTGCATTCCAAGAGTTAACTTGAAATCAGTTTAACTCTATTTCTTTCTATGTGGGTTTTTTCTTACCCGTCTCCATGAGCTTTCTGAGCCTTTTCTCCACGACATCAGCTCTTCTGTCAATGTGCTTCTGTTCGGTTTCCAGGGCCTGGAGTTCACTCAACACATACTGATTGGTGTCCTGCAGACACTGACCAGGAAGCACCACAGGGAGACATACATAAAACCAGACAAGAGAGTTTCCCAGACAGAGAGAGAGAAAAAGAAAGCGAAAATGGTTGGAAATGGGGAGGAAGAGAGATGACGCACAAAGATAATGGAGAGGAAAGGACTGGCTTGATTTTACTGGATACAAGGAAATTAAATATGGGATGGTAAAAGCTTGTGAATCAGGGGCCGGATTCACTTAAAAGAAAATTCTACAGATACATTGTAACACTGTCTAATCCAGACGCAAGTGGTGCGAGTGGGTCTTAAAAAAAAGAAAAAAAGAACATTCCCAAAAAATATTTTGGGGAATGCTTTTTTTATTTTTAAGAATGTTTTGTGAATCCCACCCCAGAATTTGACTATTATGATGGTTATTGTAAATTTAGACAGTAGGGCTGCACAATATTGATGAAAAATGTGATAACATATCGATAACAATGTGATATGCTTTATGATAATTCTATATTTAAATATTAAAATCACAAGCGTTGAGGTTATCCAAGAATTTCACTTTTTAAAAAAAATTTTTTTTAAAGATGAAACACTGTAATTTTCTCAAAGACGGAGGGTATACTGACCATGGTCTCATTATCGGCTGATTTAACATCATGATTTACTTCGTGAGGTTCTGGAAACACATATCAAATGGTGAAAAGAGGTAAATTAGAGTGTGTAAAAACAAATCTTTCCACATTCAATCATTTTTAGGAAGATGTTTAGGTAGGTTACCCGTTTCAGCACTTTCTCTTGCAGTTGTTGAGCCATTTGTTCCTTGAACTGCTGGTTCATGTTTATCTGACTGTCAGAGGTTAGTAGAAAATATACTATTAGATTAAATATTGAAACATAAATGCGAGGAAAGGGAACATCCTTTACCTCCTTCGGTGGCTCCTTTGAATCAGGCTCATCCATGGATTCACTCTTCAGCCGTGACCGCTGTTTCTTCACTAGATCCGCATCTCGTATGTGCCCGAATCCAGATCTGGAAGCAGCTGCGTTTGGTCGTGGCGGGGCCACAGGTGTCTGCGCACCTTCCGGTGTCTCCTTACTACCCTTCTCATCCACCTTTCCCGCACGTTTAGTCCGAGGTGGAGGAACAAGACCTCCGTTGGGCTTCGCCGCATTGTCACTTCCCTCCTCTCCCAGTGAGTCCTTGCTGTTATTGTCTCCTGACACAGATCCAACCTGGAGCCTCTCCGCACAGAATTTGGCAGCCACGTGTACATCCGCCTGTTGGTTTGGCCCGGCTACTGCGTAGCTGGACTGACTGTTGTTCTGTTCAATCTGTAACACACTCAACTCCTGTCCGGTGAAGTGAGCACGGATTTGGCACAAGTACGTCATGACGATCAAACGATCTGGCACAGAGAGGAGCACCATGTCTGAGGGCTCCAGCAGACGAGAGATTCCCTGTGACGCAAAACCATCAAAAGCCTGAAAGAGAAGAAAAAAATAGGTAGCAAGTATGATGAGGTTTATTTTGTGATTATAGTTCAAAATTGTCCATGTGGAACATCTGCTTAAAACAAACTTACAATTTTGTTGTTTTGCTTTATGTTGTGAGGCTCTAATGCATCAAAGTCACTGGAAAACAACAACTGGGTCAGTACATAATAACAAATTCATCCAATCTGATATGTTTTACAGTGTTTAATAATGAATGTTTTAATTGTAAACAGTTAAATGCCGGCAACAAATAAATAATAATACATTAAAATAAAACCTTTGAAAGAATTTTTGATTTTTGACCCCTAGCAGTTAGTTTTGTTTTAACATCTGTATTTGGGAAATTCATTCAAGTAATCATTTTATAATTCATTTGAATTAATTCTGTAATTGTTGTCATATCCACAATAAGGTAATATTCTACATTGCTTTGTATAAATAAAATGTATTCAAATAAATAAATAAATAAAATCAATTATTTGAAATTCTACAAGTTTGAATTGTTAAAGATTTTAAGTGAGTGTTATATGATGGCAAAGATTAAATAAGTAAAAATAGAGAAAATTAACATGCAGAATTAGGTAGGCTATTACATTTAAAGCCATATTCTACCAATATTCTACAAACACATAGTGCATTGCTATTTTATTCATTTTTTTACTTGTACAAAATGCCTGTTAATTGAACCAAGTAATCTATAAAAGAGTTTGTTAGGTTGTTAAATAAATTGAATCATTCTAAGAAAGAATAAGTTGGGTCATGAAAGACCTGAAACTCACATAATCTCAGGGTGGAAGTGATGTAAGATGGCACAGAACGCCAAGCCATTACGCCAAGAGGTGCTGAAGTTTGTTATTTTCACTCCCTTATAGTTCTTCGTGATCTCTTGACACCACTTTAGCAAGGACTGACTGGAGGTCACCAGACCAGGACTGGGCAGTGGACTTGCAAACTGTATAGTGACAAATAAAAAACTTTATTAGAAAACACAAATAACAGTCAACATTTAACATGCACTTTAAACAGCAAATGCCACTCACATCCAATTCAGGAACTGCTGAACCCTCTTTATTTGATTCATCTATTTGTTTTACTATAGTGAGGTCCATAGGTGGTGGAATGATTTTCCTTTTACTACGTAATGGGGGCACAATCACGTGACATGCGTCTACAGTGGTCTGGCCGTTAACCTGCCCACTGCCTCCGCTACTAGATGGTGTCTCGTTCCCTTTGGCCTCAGGGGTTACATTAGAGGAATCCTTTTCTTGAGGATGACCAGACCTGTCAAAAGGACTTTAAATATGTTAGACATACTGACATGACTTCTTTGCCCTGTGCTACAATAAATACACAATTCCTCATTGTTTTTGCTTCACCTACTAAAATGAAAAATGAAATAAAAATGAAATTGTTCTGCTATGCAAAATGGGTAGTTGTCCTCTGCGGTGCTTTGAACATTTTGGGTGTTGTTTTAAAGGTTGACGAAAAGACATGCAAATATTAATCTACACAGTGTTCAACAATACATGGTAAAATAAGGCTGAATTTTAGTGTTTATAAGGCTGAATTTTAGTGTTTACACGCCACTCAAACTTACAATTCATCAGGCACTGACGGTGGTCTATCCTGCTCTATTTGAGCCTCTCCACTTCTATGAATACTTAAATCTGGCTGTTCCTTGTTCTTAGTTTCAGCTTCTGTGTTTTCTGTCTGGTTTGTGAGCTTAACAGCTGGCGTATCTTGGCACTCCCTTTCAGCTGTCATACATTCCAGCTGGACATTTTGTTCTTGCTTGTTAAACCGGACATTATCATCTAAAACAGCACTTCTAGCATTGGCTTTTCTATCCTCTAACAGTGGCACAGAGGAAGTCTGAGACTGACTGATGTCAATTTTCTCGTCTATCTCATCTTGAGAAATCACTGATGGTTGAGGTCCAATAGTATTTGTGATCTCAGTCTGATCTAAATGTGTCTGTATCTCATCCGTGGGCAGTTTCAAGCTAGACTTGAGTTGCAGGGGAGGAGTTGGAGGAAGTTCGAAATCAGACTTGCAGGGGATCAAGCGTTTCTTAGTGCGTGGAGCAGGTGAAGGCTGTGTTGTCTCCTCTTCTACCATTTGACAAATCTTTGCTAACAGAACATTCTCCTCTGAGAGGTCTTCATCCTTTAGACTAGAACTTTCTGTACCTTTTGTTGGCTCACTGTGTCTTTCAAGTTTAGGAGAGGGGAATGGCCACGGGACCACAGAGCTTCTCGGAGAAATGTCCTGCCCGGAAATAGCATCCTCATCAACGTCAATATCTGTTGGCTTCATTGTGGCCTTAGTGATGACTGTGCTGCTCTCTTTTTCCATCTCAACTTTTGAAGTGTCGCCCTCTTGTGGTGATAGGTTATTCTCACTAATCTCTTTTGCAACATCATCGCATATCTCAGCAGTCTTTACAGTTGTTGTCTCTATAGTCACAAGTAAAGGAGTGGTTCCTTTATCGTCGTATCGGGGAACCACATGTTTGTTATCCGCTGCACCGCTACTGTTCTGATTGATGGCATCAGGGCCGACTTCCTGTAAAGGCACTGGGGGTGGTGACTGCTTACACTCATCTTGACAAGGAGGGATAACTTTGTTAACGGGTTGGGAAATAGTTTCCGTTAGTGTAGTGTCTTTTAATATGGACACAGATTCTGATGGAAAGGCAGGCTGAGGTGCTTCTTGTGTTTGTATGGCTGTGAAATCTCTTGGTTGTGGTATTGGCTGTATTGAGGATTCCTCTGGTCTGTGAGAAATGGGACACCAGAACAAAATATCAAAATGTTGCACCTTACCAATTTGGTTATTATAGCGTGCAAATGTTTTTTTCAGTAAAAAGGCAATTAAGTGAAAATGGCACAATCTGTTCCAGCAAGGGGCTGCAAAGAGCAGCATTAGCCCGCAGTCGCTGTGTAACGTTTTCTGCAAATTATTTTTTGCAAGCTTGCAGTTGCAAAATAGACAAACAAGCTGCGAAATTGCTGTTTAGTCCTTTTTGATAAACCACAGAAAGCTCAAAACCAAAGCCTACACTTTAAAAAAAAAAGGAACCAACACTATAGGTTTCATGCTCATAATACACTACCACTCAAATGCTTGGTGTCTATTGGAAAGATTTTTTTTCTGCCTTTATTTGAAAAATACAGTAAAAAAGCTCAATTTTCAGCAATTATTACTCTAGACTTCAGTGTCACATGGTCCGTTAGAAATCAATTTAATAGGCTAATTTGTGATCAGGAAACATTTCTTAATATTATCAATGTTAAAAACAGTTGTGCTGCTTAATATTTTTGTGAAAAATAGTGATACATTTTTTAGTGAACTATGAATGTCTTTACTGTCATTTTTGATTGTGTCCTTGCTGAATAAAATATTAATAAAAAAATCTTTGACCCAAAGTTTTTAGTGGTAGTGCATCCCAACCCATCTCTTAAGATGCATACACTGCTTTATGTCACACTCAGACACCACCAGCCCATGTCACAGACAAATACGAATAACGACCAGAGCGCTTGACTGTCAGCCAGACGGAACATTGCCAAAATCGTGCCGATCATTTAAGGAGGGTCATAAAAATGAGAGGCAGTGCAGGCAGATGTCATGCACTTACCCTGCTCCATCCATATATAGCTCAGCAGACCACACTGTCCCTAAGTCTTCATGACCCAGTTCAAATTCCAGCTCTTCCGCCATAGGATTTAAATCTGCTGTCTTTATCTTTCCAGGAGTCATCTTGCCAAGCAGAGGTTCTCCATGTCCATTTCTTTTTGGGCTTTGGTGTATTTTTACTTCCTCATAGTCTACCACCAGATGATCCGTTTCCACAGCACTGACATTTTGCATCCCTTTCTTAGCAGGTATGCTAAGTTCTTCGTTTGTGGTTTCCAAAGGCAAGCATGTCTCTTCGTTTATCTTTTCATTGGATATAACACTCTCAGACTTTACTTCCATCTTCATGCTTCCTTCATCCTGGGCTTTGAAATTAATGGATCCGCTTTGAGTTTCTCTGGCAGCCAGTTTCAAGCACTCCACCAAGCTCATGGACACCAGATCGGCAGTCTGAATATCTATCTGTAACTCGCTAGACTGTAACAAATCCTTGATGAGGTGTTCCTGGGGCTCATCGTCAGTTGGATGCTCCATTTTGGTGTCACAGAAGGCCTCGGGGGGAGAATTTCAACCACAGATCCATCTTGATTGTCCAAAATTGTGTCATCTTGAACATCGATTTCTGCAGCACTTGGCTGCTGTAGTATAGATGTCACGGTCTCATAACTAAAGGACGAGGACATTTAAATGACACAATTACATTACACCATGACAAAACAAATGGTTTCCGTTCACCAAAAGGCTGTTTTTGATTTAGCCGCGATAAAATCACCAGCCAATATTTAATCAATCAAACAAGCAAGCTATGCTTCTCATCACTACAGGACACCCTAACTGTGGATGCAAAAGCTTCCTTGCAAATGCACAATCACACCTTATAACCATCTTTCAGTGTTTCGGGGAAATTAAATTATAGCCATGCAGATGCCAAGGCCAAAGAAGCTCTGTGCAAGTCTCAGAATTGTCCCACACTTACCCTTTGTACAGAACACCGAAAATCCCCCTTATGAAGCCTACAGATACCTCTTCCTGATCAGAAACAGAGTCAAGTTCCTGTTTACATGTGTCCATGGTTTTATCTGTTCCTACATCAATCTCAAGGCCAAGTTCAGTCCCTGAACAGACACCCACAGTCCTGAGATCTTCTTTAGGTCCAGCTTGAGTTGTCCAAATTCTCTCACTGCCAGTTTGCAGCAGCATCTTATCTTCTGAATCTTCCACTTCAGGAGTCTTCTCTTGGTTTTTTTCTCTCTGTCTCTCTCTGATAGCATTTTTATTCAGATTGTGGTGGAAAGGGGATGAATCGAAGGACTCCTTTTGCTCCTCCTGCTTGATTTCTGATGTTTCCTGTTCACGTTGGCTGCCATGGACCAAAAAGTGTAAGTGTTGAATTTTAATATTCTCTCGCTTACATCTCAACTCCCAGCAAGTAAAACGAATGCTTACTTTAAGAGATCCATTAGAAGCACAGGCAGAATAAATAAATCATCTATGCTGTTAATTTAATGGCAATACATTAACTGTCACTTTTGATTAATTTAATGCATCTTTGCAGAATAAAAGTATTAAAACAAAAAAATCGTACTGACTACTATAGTATGGACGAATCTATGCAAGCCAAGTTTTCAGTCCACGCAAAACTCCATGCAGTGAGATTAACAAACCTCACGCACTTACCCCCTATCCAGGACCTCTTTTTCTGGTATCGACTTGGCCATGCTAACAACCTCATCACTTTTTTCTTTTGTTTTCTCCTCTACTGTGGCCCAAAACACACTCTCAGTTTCAAACGCCACCTCTTTCTTTAAACCATTTTCGTCAGACTCGGTATCCAGAGACAGGTTGGGCGTCAGAGGGCAAAGTTCCTCCAGATGCAGTGATGTCCTGTTTTCCTTTGCAGGGGCAGCAGGGGAGATCACAGGAAGTGAAGGCTTCATACGGACCTGTATACTGACTTTGAAAGCTTCTTTAGTTTTCTCCGTAACTGTCTCAGCTGGTTGTGGTTTTAGGACATTGGAGGGCTGCTGGGACACTGGTTTAGTTAAAACGAGATTCTCAGCACCTTCAATTCGGTTTACAGCGTTTTCTTCACTGTGAGGGAAGGAATAGGGTTTATGACACATTTCACTTACCTTGTTTTGATCAAAATGAAACTTTACCACATTCATTTGCCTGCTATAACACCCAGTACCAATATCAATATCCTTTTATATCCGTTTATATCCAAATCATCAAACGTGGCTCGCCAAACTCCCTCTCTTGTTGATGCATGAGAGTGCACAAAAGCCCCAATTTTAACACACTCAATCATATGAGACATGTGACAAAACTCAAGCATGCAAGCACTTGGCTATGGCTGAACATTAGAGACCATGTTGGGCACTGTCAAAATGTCTCTTACCCTCCATCTAAAGATTTTTTTGTGGACACTTCAGCTTTATTTTCTTCTTTTGACATCTTGCGAGGTGTTTTGTGCTTATTTATTTCCTCATCTTTTATTTCCTCCTCCTGATCTTTTACATTCTCTTCCAGAGAACTCCAGATTGGCACTTCTGCTTGGGTGAACGAAAGTGAATGGACCTCCATGCTTTTCTGTGTTAGCACTGTGTTGTCTGACTCCTTTACAATTGGCTCTGGTTTAGCTGGTTCACTGACTGCTGGAGTTTCTTCTGAGATGCATTTAAGGACTTTGGGCTCCAGGGATTGGGGATGAATAGGAGGAAGCTCTTTGGGCAGAGCTGTTATCTGAGGGGCAGCTGCTTTGAGGCTAACGCTAGGCCTGTCATCTGGAGTGAAGGCCATTTCATTTTGACTGAGAGAATAACAGGGAATAGAAGAATGAGACAGGAAGAAAATAGTTACAGATAGAGAAACATAAGGGAATTAGTATTTAGTAAAGAGTTTAGAAAGTTCAAATACAAATTTCTGGAGAATTGATGTGGATGATGTAATTCTACAGTATCTATGTATCTTGTGGTTGGCGAAGAAGATATAATTAACCTCTCTGTTCATACTGAGGTCAGTTAGTATATTTAAATGTGTTATCTATAAAACAGAATTGTATTTGCCTAACTATTCAAATTAGAGTCATTAAAAGACAGATGAGGGTCTATTTAAACAGGAAGTAGCACAAAAGCGGAAAGTTTAAGTTTGCAGCAGTTTGGGAGTGTAATAGTACCAGACAAGCTACACACTCACCTTTCCACAATAGTTAAAATCTTGTCCAGCTGATCCTTATGGGACTTTTGCTCTCTCAAACTACTGTCGATCTTAGATGTAAGGACTTCTTCTTTCACCCACATTTGACTTTTTCCCCTGGGAAGATCTGTAGGTTCTTGCTTTTGAGGTGATGAGCTGGATAAAACGTTACGGATATTTTGTTCAGTAGGGGTAACCACAGTTGAAGCAAATTTCTTGATTATCTTGTCCTCGTCTGACTTGTTGAGGTCGGCACAAAGCAGAGCGTTCTGCTCATTCGGTTCCTCTTTTGGAGGAATGTCCCCTGCTGATTCAATTATAGTGTTTTCTGGTTGCTTTAACAAGTCATCATCGGTTATTGGACAGGGTTGAACCAGGCAGGACTGCATTGGCTGTTCAGTGTCAATTTTGAGTGGTTCTTTCTCAGGGTGACTGCTAACATTAACACATTTAATGGGTTGAGAGGGCATGACCACTTTATCAAAATCAGCCGCTTTAAAATCAGGCTCTTCCTCAGCCAAAGGTGGTTTCTCTGCAATAAAAACGTGTTGATTTTTCTTTGTAAGAGTGGAAACCACTGATGAGTGAGGTATTGTTGCTGGAGCAGAGAATGGGTGTGGAGGAGGGACAGTCCCTGTGTCCAATTGCTCAGATCTGGGAGCTTCAACAGGCTGTACACCAGATGTGTCTAAAGATGACTTGCCAACAGGCTCAAGACTGGGGGACAAAGATACTTGGTGTCAAAGGTGGCAAATATGGGGTGAGAGGCCAAAAAGTATGGCAGTGTTTGGTAAGATTAGACAGGACTTTGTGTGGCAGCAATGTTAGTGGCGAAAGAGATGCAGGATTGGAGTGGTGAGAGAAAGCAATGGAGAGTTCAAACATTTACACAGATGGTGTAGGCAAATAACATGGTCTGATTATGATAGGCTCATCACAAGGTCATGCATTTCCCCTACTGTTATTAAGGAATAGTTTTCTCATTTAAAGATTTAAATGCATATTCATGCAGAAACGCTTAATAAACAAAGCAAAATACTAAATTCTGAATACACCTCTGCCAATCAGACTGAGTCTTCAAAGTTGATATTATGTTTGTTTTTACTGAATTCTAAAGTTAAAATCTATGTTAGTGAATTATACTTGATGCCAGAACAAATAAAATGTTTAGCTGCCCACCTTTTTACAGCTGTGGCAGGTCTGAGCTCTTTGCTTTCAGAGCTGCTGGTTTCAGGTTGACGGAGGGAGGAAGGAGATTGTTGATTCGCTATGCTAATGCTGCAGACTGTCCGAAGTTGCTCTTGTTTGGGCTCGGAGGTCTTCAGTTCTTCAGCGAGTAAATCTGTGGAACAAAACAGCAAATTGAATCAAAATAATTATTTAAATAAAGTAAATAAAAGCTAAACAATCTTAATCTATTTGGGTTTCAATGATTTTAGGCTTTTTAAATCATTAATGACAAGAGTGAAGAATACTTATTCACCTTGTAAAAATGGATTTGTTTGATCCTCCTCTGTTAGTGTGTTGAGCTCCCTGGGTATTTCTGGAAAACAAATAACATACAATAAAAACTTGTAAAAAATAATGTATTATGAGTTTTATTAAGTTTTAATTATTGAATTCATTTTCAAAGACAACAGCTGATTTGAGATGACATGAGTGGAAATGTCATTGCAGAGTTTTATGCAAATAAGCAATCTTTAAAGTGGGATTTTGGACCAATGAGAGTACCCTATTGTAGCTAGTTACAACAAAAACCTTAAATTAATGATAGATGCGATTTAGGGGGCGTTTACGCGTCACGACAACCAAAAACAAATTTTTTATACATTTTGGCCGTTCATTTACATGATGACAAAAGCATTTTGGGAGCCTGAAACGCAAACTTTTGAAAACTGGATTCAAAGTGCAAGTTTTTGAAAATGATACAGTTATGGTCTCTGCGTAAACTACAAAGGCGCAAATTTGTGGAAACAGTGACATCATGTTCAAGCATATTATGTGTTCAATTTAACAACACCGTGGTCTGTAACCGAACTTTTTAAAAACGCAAAGGAAAAACTTTTCTGTTTTTAGTTCATCATTGTTGTGTAAATGTACCCTTAAATCGCAAAATAAATCTTCTAGAACATTATAACCGTTTGACCTATCACCAGTCACAATAGTTCCTATTACGGTCTCTTTTCAAGCAAATGATAGGCAGTTTAGTACCTGACTGTGCAGAAGAAGATTGAGGTGAACAGCAGGGGGCATTTATGAGAGCTTCACTGGTTGACAGGGCAAGAGCAGAGATAGAGGAGGGGACAGTTGCTGGGGTAAAAGAGACAGGTAGAGGTTTGCTAATGGGGTAAGAAAGGGAGACAGAGGGAGGTGAAGGTGGCTTGGGGAGTTCACTAGAAGGGCAAGATGTTTCACAAAGAGCTTCGAGATCCGGTTTGCTCAGCAAAGGAACAGCAGGTTCATTTAGAGGGACGCTGAAGAAAGGAGATGTAGAAACCACCATCGTTCGCTCATTTAGCTCTGCAAAAGCTGTGAGAAAAAGATGGAAAATATATACAAAAAGTAGTAAAACAGGCAAAGGAAGTTTTTAGATAGATCAAACTAAATAACAGGCTTTCCTTGATCAAGTGTTAGAGACTCAGTTTGAAACAATATATATTTATCTGAAGCAAATATTGATCTAAAAATCAAAGTAGGGGCTTTCAAACTTTTTAAGGGACAATCACATATGATGATGATGATGGAACCTTTACTAAAGTATAAAGGCAGATACATATTTTTATGTATAAAAAGTATGTATACTGTTTAAGATAAATAATATGATACTGTGCATGCTAAATCATTATGCAAGTCGTTATTCTGATCATATTTTCACAACGCTTCCGCTTCTGATTCTTATTAGGTTGGGGTCATATTTTAGGATTGTTTACCTTAGAAATGTGTCTGAGAACCCAACACTTTACTCTTCTGGAGACTCCAAGTAGGTTCTGGAAAACGGTGGCACTGGAGACTAAAGGGTTTGTGATGGTTTCATACCTAATCTTCACCTTAAGTCTTAAATGGTTAGTTCACCCAAAATTCTGTCAGTAATTACTTTCATGTTGTTCCAACCCCATAAGACTTTCATTCAAAAGTCTGAGAAAGATTAAATCTGAGAGCTGTCTCACTCCTCCATGGGCTTCTATTGTAATTGAAACCTGCCAGCCCAGAAAGTTAGTAAAAAAACATATTTAAAATAGTCCAAGTGACTATAGTGGCTCAACCATAAGTTTATCAAGTGACGAGAATACTTGTTGTGCACAAAAACGAAACAAAAATAACGACTTTATTCAACTATTCATCTTTTTCTGTGTGGGCCGTTAACATAGTGTAACAGTGCAGCGCTACTATTGGCTGACGCTGGTCATGAGTGTGATGCTGGCCAATAGTGAGCCTACTGTACGTTCTGACGATGGCGCTTTTATTAACTTCCTGTGTGGTTTGGAATTGGTAAAATGTGCTTAGAAAAAATATGAACAGAATATCGACTTGCATAATAATCATGCGCACACTTTGAAGACAAACTTAAATGATTTTTAAATGTTTTTTTAAATACTTTTTCTTCTATAATGTTTTAAGAAAGCAAAATTGAATATATTCCAATTATTGTAGTAACATTACATTTTAAAGTAAATTTAAATGAAGTGATTGTGAACAATTGTTCTTGTTCACAACAAGTGCACTTGTTAACTGTAATTTAGTATTGCTGCCTCTAATGTTTACATGCAGTATGGAAGATGTCTCAATACCTGGCACACTGCCAGCAGATGGATGGTTAAGCGTTTCAGAAAGAGAGAGGGAAGAAGTTTTGGGTTCGAGGAGAGGGACAGGAACGGGGGATACAGGGCGAGCACCTGGGACAATCTTGGGCTTAAAAACATTGGTGCGAGGTGCTCCAAAAGAATCTGAGACAGAAGTGCAATGTCACAAAGAGAACGCAGACCACGTGAAAGAAGAAGATTAGTCAGAGATGTGGGAAAAGTGAGAACAAGAGACAGTGGCTTAGAGGAAATGAATCTGACTTCTCCAAAAGCTATCTTAAAGTTTCCTTTAGAGTCAGGCTAAGATTTACTATTTCTATTAGAATTACAGTAAATGTGCTCCAACTTCTATTTAGTCTGTGAATGTTTAGAAATCAGAGTCTTTACCTTTCGGTAGCACAGTGGGAAGATAGGGAGAGTGAGAGAGGAAGGAATCCGAAGGGGAAGAAAAAGAAGCCAGAGGGAGTTTGAGCAGAGGATAGTCAGAGGTCACCGGACCCTCCAGAGGGGCCTCGGAGCCTGACAGTCTTCTTGGAAAAGGCACAGGAGCTGGTCATTATCATAGAGGGATAAATAAACAATATGTAGTGCAGGCTTTGTCGAGAAATACACAGATGCACAAGCACTATTAGAATTGTTTCTCTGGGTGATGAATGTAAAAGAACACATGCATGTGGATGTCAATGAATTCACGCATGTACACTGCAGCTAAATAGGGCTCTCACTCTTCTTTGTCCTTTTTAAATGCGGTTGTCACTATTCAAAATTTGCAATGCGTATTTGTGGATATAGTGAATTTCAGTTCTCAGTTCTCTGAAACAACTTCTTACGCACCACATACCCAAATTTTGCAGCCCTACACATGCTTCATTGTGATCTAAACAAATTTCTAAAACTTTTAGCCAAATACTCAAATATGTATAGTCAAACATGACAATGCAGAAGGGAATGAAATTATACCACATGACCCTGGTGTTTGTCAAAAACAGTATGCAAATCAGCCAGGAATTTTCTCATGAGTGGAAAAAAACTACCAAAACGGATTTAGATGGCAATAAAATTACCGACTACCAGTAAATGCTGAAATTACTTCACTGACCTCAAGTGAAACAATTACCATTTGTGCAGTGCTTTAGACAAATTTTTATGAAGAAATATAAGACTAGCAAAACGAAAAGGTCAATAAATATTCACTTTCGTTGAAAAGTTTGGGGAAAAGAAGTGTCTTACGCTCACCAAGGCATTTATTTATTTACATCTATTTTATTTAATCACAATACAGTAAATATTAACATTAATATTAAGTAATATTAATATAATATCAATATTAAGTAATATTAATACAATTAAAAATAACTGTTTTCTATTTTAATATATTTTAAAATGAACTTTTTTTCCCCTGTGATGGCAAAGCTGAATTTTCAGCATCATTACTCCAGTCTTCATTGTCACATGATCTTTCAGAAATCATTCTAATATACTGATTTGCTTATTATTATCAATTTTGAAAACTGTTGTGCTGCTTAATATTTTTGAGGAAATCATGATAAATTTTTCTCAGGATTCTTTGACAAAAGAACAGCATTTGAAAGAGCGGAAATAGTCTTTGCTGTCACGTTTGAACAATTTAATGCATCTAATTTGGGTATTGTAGCTGAGATGGTGATTTTATCACAAGAGAAGAACTTCAATTCCAATTGAAGTACACGTTGTTGAGCCATTTAACCATACATACAAATAACTTTAATCAAGTAAGAACGTCAACTAGCAACCAACAGTTTAGCAGGTGACTTGCTGACCTCCAGCGGTTTAATTTAAGTCGATCTATGGTACCTGAGCCAGGGGATGGCTGGAAGACTTTGGGCAATGCTGGGGGGAGCAAACCAGTAGTATTTTGCTCTGTGGGGGAGTCAGGTGGGGCCTGTAGCTGGGCAATGGGTGGTGGACGTGGTGGTCTGGAGCGGGCGGGTAAGGGCATGGTGCGAGGGTTTGGACTGGGTGGGGTGGGTAAAGGTGGACGTGCTGGCAGGTCAGGGTTACGGATAGTGCCAGACGCTGGGCGTGAGAGGACGCCATCAGCAGGCCTCTCCTTACCACTGACTGAGGTTAGCATGAAAAATGGAGGGAGAAAGACAACAATAGAGTGAAAGAGAAAGTATTGAGGAAAAGCAATGGGGCAAAAGAGAAATATAGAGGTCAGAGCGAGAGAAAGGTCATGAATGTATCATTAAGGATGGTGGTGCATCGTCATAAAGACATTTAAAGAGTTAATAATATTTTCTCACCCTCATGTTATTCCAAACTTGTACGCTGTTATTTTTCTGTGTAACACTAAAGGAGAATGTAATGCTCTTTTCCAACAACAGTTCACAGTAGCCATGTCTGTCCCAAAAAAGTAATTTTGTAAAACGTAAATTGCCAGACCCTGCTTGATTTAAAGATTATCATTATAAATGGGGTCATTATTTCCCATTTATTACATATGACAGATTTAATTTATTTTGCAAATCTATTTCATCATTAAAAAATAAATGTATACTACTGTTCAAGCTTTGGGATTGGTAAAAATGTGAAAGTTGAAGAAGTTGAAATATTATTACAATTTGTAATAAATATTTTCTATTCTAAAACATTTTAAAATGTAATTTATTCCTGTGATGGCAAAGCTGAATTTTCAGCAGCCATTATTCATCCTCAGGGTCACATTATCCTATATGCTGATTCTTTTATCAACCTTGATGAATAAAGTACACATAGTTTTTTTAGATATTAACTGACCCCAAAGTTTTGAACGGCCATGTACATTAACTTCGTAGCCAAGATTTTGTTTGGAGACTGCCTGATGTAAAAAAAAATTCAGGAATTGTTGTCTTTCTAGCTACATTTATGTGATTTGTCATTGTCAATATTTTTGGTATGAATTATGCACCATTCTACAATAATCTAAACTAATCAAATCGAATTTCGGATTTCACAATGCATCTCAATAATGACGTGAAGCATAAACTTTTGTTAAGAAAAGAATATGTTTCAAATTCCTTTTGTGTTCCAGGAAAAAGACATGAGGGTTCAGACAACAACATGAGGAAGAGTAAATGATAAACTTAATCTAATAAAAAGGTAAACTTCACCCTTTATATTAGATTAAAATATTTTCATGAAATTCATGATGACATGCAAGTCCCTTTCAATTTTTGAAATGAGGACAAAAAATGAATGTGATAATCATATGCAACAAAACCACATCAATATTTCTGAAACATTCTAAGAATATTTCAATTAATGGAAATAATTAACTGGATGTGGTTTTATATGAACTTAATTTTTATAAAGAAAGAAAAATAAATCAGTATGATCAGAAACATGATATTACTGAAAAGACTGTAGAGAGAGAATATGGAAAGAGCATTTGTAAATATAAGTACCTATTGCTGAAGGGCTCTTTAGAGATGCAGGTCTCTTTTCTTGGGAGCGTGTTGGTCGAAGAGGAAGGTGGAGTGCTGACAGAGAGAGAAAGAGAGAAGGAGAAGTTCTGGCATGTGAGGAAGTAAGGGTTACTATGGTAAGAGAAAATGAAGAGTTCAGATGCAAAAGCCTCTAAGTGCCATTTGAAATTTTCTTTTAAAATGATAATTTTTATCAAGCTTATATATTTAAGTTCAGTAATTTCACTTAAATGACAATGAAGATTACCTATGAATTGCCATTTGAGTGAAATTACTGAACTTAAATATACAAGCTTGATAAAAATGATCATTCTAGAAGAAAAATTTTAAATGGCACTTAGAGGCTTTTGCATCTGAACTCTTCAAATATACATGCATCAATAGTGATTCATGCAAGAGGGCAGATGAATAAGGAATTAAGATAAAGAATACAAGACATGAGTATGCAAGTGTTTTATAAATACAGTGGGGTCCTAAAGTCTGAGACCACAAGTGTAAATGCATCTGTGTATTTTGTACAACTTAATGCTTTAAATTTTCATTACAAATCATATTATCAGCAAAATAATGTATAGTTCTCGTTTCACATTTTTCAGAATCCAAAAAGTTATTTTCTAAGTTTAAAATGAATTTTGAATCCCAGAATCTTAGACGTTTTGTCCCCATTCTATATGTTCATAGTTTTTTATAATACCTGGAGCTGCAGTACTGAGATTAAGCCCAGCACTGGATCTCTTATCCTCCTCTTCATCACTCTCATTAAAGTCATCCAGGTTCCCAATGTCTGTTGGTTTTACACTCATCAGACTGGCAAGACTCTGCATGTCCTCGTCCCTACAGAGGAAACCCACAACCGGTCAAAGAGATGTAAAGGTTATTTGTCAAGAGGTGTAGGCATTTCATTGAACCAGCTGTGAAAACCTTACTATGTGAATTGTATTTGCATCTTTACTTCCAGAAGCTATGTAAAGTTATTTGACCTAATGGAGATTAGCCTCGAAATTCTTTCGCATTACATCCTAATGCAGCATCTCTACAAGGCTGTATTGTTTTGGAAATTTCTGCTCTGCATGCTTCTTGACCTGCACATCAGGAAGGAAACTCACACCGGTGTTCAACAACAGCAAACTATGTCTCTTGTTGGATTGAAACACTCCAAATATTTTTTTACCGAAATCAATTTTTGAAACAATTTTCATGTATTTGGTTGTGGTGCAGTCACAAAAAGAGATTTGCTATGGTCACGTTCCCAATCTAGATAATTAAACACCACTTGCAAGTGTTTCAAGAACTCCATGTGGATGAGGTCAACATGAAGAACTCACGTAGCTTTACCCTCCTTGAGGAACACACAGGATAAGGAAAGCTTCAGCGTGGCCTCCACCACCTTCACCGACAGAGGCTTCATTTTGAGCATCAGATCCGTCTGTGAGTGTGTTGCACTGGCAAACTTCTTCATGTTCAAATCCACAGATGCCAGAACTTTCCGACTGCCTTTAGCTGTCTCCTGCAGAACATCAGAGAAGGTAACTTTGATAATAATAAAGCAAATTTTTCCCATTTTGTTCTGTTTTCATTTTGAATTACCATAAACATCACTAGCCATTTAATAAGGTACACCTGTTCAACTACTCGTTAACGCAAATATCTACTGTAATCTGCCAATTACATGGCAGCAACTCAATGCATTTAGGCATGTGTACATGGTCAAGACGATCTGCTAAAGTTCAAACTGAGCTTCAGAAACATGAAATCTGAAGAAATTAAATGTGATTTAAGTGACTTTAAATGTAGCATGGTTGTTGGTGCAAGAGTATTTTAGAAAATGTTTATCTACTAGGATACAACCATCTCTAGGGTTTACAGAAAATGGTTTGAAAATATCCAGTGAGCAGCAGTTCTGTGGGAAAATGCCTTGTTGAAGCCAGAGGTCAGAGGAGAATGGCCACATTGGTTTGAGCTGATAGAAATGTAACACAAATAACCATTGGATTTCTGTTGAGACATTTAAATGGTAAGATCAGGATTTGTTGTTAACAACACGAAAGAACGGATCCATCCTGCAGTGTATCAATGGTTTAGGCTGGTGGTTGTTTGTTGGTGTCAGGGATATTTTCTTGGCACATTTTGGGGCCCCTTAGTACCAATTGATCATCGTTTAAATGCCAAAGCCTAACTGAGTATTGTTACTGACCATGTCCATCCCTTTATGACAACAGTGCGCCCATCTTCTGATGACTACTTCCAGCTGGATATTGTGCCATGTCACAAACCTCAAATTATCTCAAACTGGGTTCTTGAACATGACAATGAGTTCACTATAATCAAATAGCCTACACAGTCACCAGATCTCAGTCCAAAAGAGCACATTTGGGATTTAGTAGAATGGGAGATTCATATCATGGATGTGCAGATGAAAAATCTGTGTGATGCTATCATGTCAATAACGACCAGAATCTCTGAGGGATTGTTTCCAGAACCTTGTTGAATCTATGAATCAAACTTAATTTCTATTTAAAAAAAAACAACAACTCACATTCTCAATGAAAAATGTCCATTCTTTGTCTTCAAACTCATCTGCATGTGGGTCCTGTGAAACGAAAGCATATTCAAAAAGTTCAACAAATTTACTGACACAAATTTTAGTATAGGTCAGCATTTGTCAGTATCTTTAACAAGTTGATACAATATATTTATGTTATATATATTGTACAGCTAATATTAAGATGCAATAGGTGTCATACCCTGTAGAGTGTGACGGTAATATCCACATTCTCAGGTACGGGCCACACCACCATTCCCCTGTAGGGATTTTTGATGCCCGGCTGCCATGCATGAAGCTGATGAGAAAATAGCAACACTGTCAGTTATAATAAATAACATTGCACAGTAGTTGTAATCATTGTAATCACTTCTAAATCACTGTAAATAAAGCATTGTTCAACATAATCATTTTCGATGATTATCAAAACTGACTGAATGCTTGGGAAGAAAATCAACTTGAAAAGGTGGATTCCAGGACATGCAAATTACTTTTCATTTCATGAATAATTTTGTATCTAGAACAAAACTTATATTTTATAATATTTTGTATATTATTTGTAATGTGTGTCAATAAAAACATATCATTAATATTAAATAATATTACTAATTTATATAGACAAGGCAAGTTTTATTATCACATTTCATACACAATGGTAATTAAAGATTAAAAATAATACTCAATTCTTGATCAACTGCCTGATCACTAAGTTGTGGTGTGCTCCAATCTGGATTGGAAGAAATCGAGTCAGGCTTGGGGTTTGGGTTTTATAGACAATTAAAGATGGTTTATCTTTTTACCTTGGAGCAAATGCGTCTGTTCCTCCTTGTCCACACCACTCTCAGTTTGTCTGGTTGCCTATTAAACAAAAATAAAAGAGTGCTGAGTGGGAGTTGAATAATGGCTCCTTTACTATTGATAAAGACTTCTACATTAAGACTATCACTTTTCAGTGCTTGCTTAAAATAGCAGGAAGTAGCAAGAAGCCACTGTTGATTGTTTGTGTGTATCTACAAAAAGCTACAGGCAGTGAAACAGATCTTGGGATTTGGTCTCCCAGTGTTACCCAGAGGCAGAAAGGAATCAATAAATGCTGCCAAATGTTTCAAACCCAAAACAAAACAAGAGCACATGATGCAAGGCCTTGCATACAAGACGAATCCAAACTGGGGGAAGCTTTTACTCACAAACAAGCACCAAGAACAAATAATTGAGTGAGGCTGAGGCATGAAACGTTGTCTTACAAAATAACCAAAGGTCAATTCTGTGTCATTTGGGACATGTGGTATCTATTACATGTATTCCCCTGCAGTGCTATCAATACTGCCTGATGAAAATGTAAATAAGTTAAAGAAAAAAAGCTTTTAAAAAGTTCCTGTGATGTCTAAGTATGTTTGTTGAGGTCACACAGCACCCTGTAGTCCCAGATAAGCCTTATATCTGATATCCAGAACATTATGATGATATATTGCCAGAAAAAAAATGCAAATCAATAAGTGTGGAGCATTAAACAAATGAATGGAAATCATATTTACCAAGCATACAGTGTACAGATCTGCTCCGGCACATGTTTCCTAAATAAACTTGCCCTTTTGTGGTGAATTGTTCAGATGTGAGCCCATTGTACACCTCTGATCTGTTCATTGCCATGCTCGCTGCATTAAGAATTGGAGGAAACTCGGCAAGGTCACATGACCGAGCTGACTTTGGCTCACAGCACAAGGGGTGTTGGCCTCTGATCTCACTGTGTGTTTACCAACAGCTGTTCACATTTAATAATAGCGGCTTATATTTTGGGATATGAGGGTTGTGATTAAGCATTCAAAAACAGTGAAGGGAACAAAAAGATTTGTTGTATATGCTACTGTTCAAAAGTTTTCGATTTTTTTTAGTCTTGTGTGCTCACCATGGCTGCATTTTCTTGATCAAAAATACAGCAAAAACAGTAATATTGTGAAATATTATTACAATTTAAAGCAACTGTTTTCTATTTTAAAATATTTTAAAATGCAAATTATTATTGTGATGTCACATCTGTACTTCCGGGTTCTTGCCAACGCTTTCGATTTCAAAATGGCGGCTGCGTGAAAGCAGCGTATTACACAGCTTCAAAACATGTTTCCATCCAAAGTTGCAAATTTAACTTACGTTCAAAATTGGAAAACGGTTTAAAAGATCTGTGAATAAAGCGAGCGCTTCCATCCCATGTGTTCAAGAGAACAAAATTGTCAATTCCTGGGAAAATGGCACAAAATATTTGTAATAAACTGTGTTGTTACTAGACTTGCATAAAAGATGAAATGTAATTTATTATTTACATTATAGTTATTATACATTACAAAATCATTCTGATGACAAACTTTGGTTGAGGTATTTCAGAAAGATCAAACAGATGTGGTGCAATGAAATTAGTCAGCTGGTTAGTCTAGTTAGCCAATCACATCCTCTTTTGAGGAAAAGTCATGTGAGTTTTTTGTTGCGCATCAAGGGATTTTTTCGGTAAATATGTTTTAATCGTAATTTATGTGCATGTGTTCTTATCAGATCCATTTTTTTTATCAGACTCAATTGAGCGCATACGTTTACACACGAGTTTCAATGAAGGAAAAAATTGCATTTCTATAACATTTCTTTATACTAACCGAGAATATGATTTTTGATGAACATGCTCCAGATGTAAATGTCACAGTACAGCTGGATCATCTATTAGGTCATTGCAGGTAATGTGTGTCAGTAGCAGCACGAACCCCGCTACACAAAGAGAAGCGAGAAACTCTTACTCAGGTTACAGCTAGTAATAGCAACAGGGCAGAACGAGCTAAAAGGATAAATTAGGAGGAGAAGAGGGGGAACTTGGGTAGAGCGCGGATGGACGTAAAAATAGATTGCCAGCCTGGTTCTCTTTCTGGAATTCAATCCTAATTTTTTTATCACTTTCACATGTAAAGTAACTGTCAGATAAACACACACGTGCTCACACACCCCGTTCAAGTTATATACCCTATCATAAGCAACCGCTGTGTCATTTTCAGCTGTCTGATATCTCCTGCTCACACCCTCCTCAGCTGTGGCGTAACATCAACAGACTTTGGCCCACTGGCAGTAAATATGAAAATCAACCCTTTGAGCTTCACAAGATCAGACGTGCTTACAGAAATAAGTAGTTTACTACACATTCTGTAGTTTCTTTTCACCTTTAGAAACACTACCAGCTCTAGAAAAGAGATTTTAAGAAAGATGTACTACGATACATGTGTAGGTCAGCAAAAGAAAGCTCTGGAAACGATATACAGGAATTTGTTTCCTCAGTGTTGCAAGAGAATCTAGGACATAGGCCTAGCACATCAGCTGTAAGCTCATTAGGTGATAACAACAATTACGACTCCTCAAGTTTACTATTAACCCAACCTTTTTTTTTTCTTTCCAATAACAATGTTTAAAGTTGGAATTTGAGTCCATATTAAATACTAATTTCTAGAATATAGAATTGGTGAAACTGAGATCATTCAGATCACCAATAAGATGATTCAGGTATTCTATGACAGAGGTTGTGTTAAATCTATAGTGCTTAACTCTAAAAGGCAGAAATTGCAGAGTGATTCAGTTCTCCTAAGGCAGATGACAAACACTGAATAACGAGGGTTGCTTCATTTGCCAGGCCAAGACTTGTTCATAGAATATTGTCAATACTTAATATCAGCAAAATGATTAAAACAAAATATCCAGTTCAACAGAAGCATTCAAGAACATGTTTGCGAATTAAGTGTGTTGTGCATCTTGAATATTGTCTTAAACTGTCATTATTACATGACTGCAATGTTGGTGGATGACGTACTCAATATTTCCAGTCACTGTTGCACTTGTTGAAGTAATTTGATTTAAATCCAATCAGACTGAATTCTTCCTGATAATGCTGTCTTTGATCATAGATAAGAACAAATAGGCCATATAAGACACGTGTCATTAATGAATGTGAGGACTGAAACACTCCCTGTCTGTGTCAACAGCTGTCTCTTGATCAATACACTTATGAGACAGCAGAAATAGTATAATTTTTTCATTCTCTCACCTCAACACGGTTTATGGAAAACTTTTTTGAAAAAAAAAATGAATAAAAGCCGAATATTGCACAAAACTTAAAAACTTATTTGAGTTTTGAATTGGAAAACATCAATAAAGTATTTCGCCGACTATTTAAGGGTTAAGTCCATGCTCTTTAAAGCTCTCATGGTATAATAACCGAAAATTGACATGGACAACACCCAAAAAGAAAGGAAAAACAACACCACTCAATTTGAAACAATTATAACTCCCTCTTATGTGAGTCAGGAAAATTAAAATTGAAAGAAGCAGCAGCACTGCTTAGATTATCATGATGGATCATCATAATATTCAGTGTTGACAGCACGAGTGATGGAGGCGGAAGTAGAGGTGTGTGTGGCTGTCAACGTTCTCCAATGTATTTCAAATACAGTCTAAATATCGAGAGCTGTATTAATTGTTCTATTCACAATCATTTAGATTAGCCTGTCAACGCTAAATTAAAATAAGATACAGTGTGTGCGCATTACTGTTTCAGTCAGAAGAACCGCCCTTCAGCACTGCGTATTTAGGAAGCACACGCGCTATAACGGAAAAGAAATCATAACTTACCATTTCTTTGAACATTCCAGAACAAGTTCTTGATACGAAGCCACGAACTGAAATTTAGTAGCCTTTTTGCCAACTCTTTGTAATCTTTTCCACACTGAAGTCATTCTTCTGTAGAAATTGCAGTATCCGCGAAAGGAGTCAGGCACATGGAAATGATGTTTTTACCGTCCCGCCACTGAACAAAAAGTAAAACCTACTGAAAAACACGGCTGTCAAGTGGCTGGTAAAGTAAAATGTTGCTGGTGAGGAGCACGAGCTGCACCTCATGCGGCTCAGTACCACCGAACTGTCGCCATCGAGTAAAGACCATTTACGGAAACTACTGCATCACGTTACACACCAGAGCGAGAGATTGTCAGTGAATTGCCATTAGTTGCCTTGGAGCAAAAACATTTGTGGGTAGCTAGAATCTTGGGGGAACTCACGCGATACGAAATTATTCTAAAAAGCAGCTGTCTGACCATGAACTGATGAAAGTGGACGAAGAAGTGCAGGAGTTGGTGGGAAGGGTTATGCAAACACGCATTTGATGCTGCAGCTCTATGCAAAATCTCCTCATTGTATTCCGTACAGTTGGCTACTAAAGGTACTAATGACGTGATGGATCAGGGGTTACATCCAATCAGATAGGGGTCAGAATAAGAGGACGCACTCTCTGAATACGTTTGAATAATAGCCCTATCTTAGTTGTAAAATTAAAAGATAAAGTCCAATGTGATGATTTTCTAAAAAGCAGCTAAAAAAAACAAGTTCCTAAAACTATACTGCGAATAGGTAACGCTACAAAAGATTGGTGGGGGTTTGCGAAAAGGAGTTTTAAAAAAGAAAATATAATTATGGACTTGCAGTAGCCCATGGCTACAAATAAATAAAATTGGTCTGTGACTTAACAGCGAAATAATTCAAATGTAAACACACACACACACACACATTCATGATTGCTCATTCTATGTTGTCTCCAAACACTTTGGGTGACTTTTACCAAATTTTACCAAGTTATGTTGCAATTTGACAATACACAGATAGATAAATAGATAGATCGATAGATAGCTAAATAGATAGACAGACAGACAGATTTGATGGATGGATGGATGGATAGACAGACAGAGAGATAGATGAGACAGACAGACAGACAAGACAGACAGACAGATAGATAGATAGATAGAATAGATAGATAGATAGATAGATAGATAGATAGATTAGATAGATAGATAGATAGATAGATAGATAGATAGATAGATAGATAGATCAACGGACGGACGGACGGACGGACGGACGGTACGGACGGACGGACAGACAGACAGACAGACAGACAGACAGACAGACAGACAGACAGACAGACAGACAGACAGACAGACAGACAGATAGATAGATAGATAGATAGATAGATAGATAGATAGATATATGTGAGGCTGTCCAGTCCTTGATCACGATGGGTATTTTTAGTGGACATTGGGAAGGGGATTTTTCAAGTTACACAGGATCTATTTTAGAAGCCTGGGAGCGAGGGATAAATGGACAGAAGCAGCTGGAGGGATTGAACGAGTGGTGCCGCTTGCGTGGGTTATGAGGGGGAGCACAAACGTTTGGCTCAGTTGATGACCTAGAATCCAAATCGGTGACCCCCTTAGACATATTTCTGTGTGACACTAACCTCTTCCTGTCTGGTGTTTCCACTCACTCAACCCCACATTACAATTTCAAATGATATACCTTGGCTTATGCTATATTAATTTATTAATTCTAACTTATAAGGCTATGCGCATAAATGATCAGCACAGGTGATTATTGACAACTATATGGTTTGTTTTTAAGAGTTGTTGAATATAGTTTGCAGTCTAATTTCAGGTATGCACATATGAGCCAGCTCATGTAAAACCTATTATTAAAGGTTAGGTCAGCTTTATTATTCCCAAGGAGCAATTTGATTTTACAGCCAACAGTAATCAAATCAACAACAAACTAAAACAAACACACAGCACGACTTCCAAACTTAACATACTGGTAAACCTTGATTTGTGGTCATGACTATGAGTTTCCAAAATGGGCCCCTCCCTTCACTGGTAATCAAAAGCTGTGTTTGTAACTGGGCAAGATATGAGCTCACTCATAATACATTCTTACACACTAGGTGGATCAAGAAATGCCTCATCCTCATAATGACGTGCCACACCACCTTATGGTATTAAAAACAAGGGCCTCATTTATTTGAGAAGAACATGAAGATGACACACTGTTCTCCTTTGACCACATTTGCTACTTTCGAAAAGTTAAAGCTACACTGTGTAACTCTTTTAGTTTATTCTTAGCTAAAAACACAAAAATATATGTGCTCATTAAAGTACATTTACTTCGTTCAAGTAATAAAGTATTCTCGTGAGTGTATAACATGCCATTGAAAATACATACGGGTAAGGGGTTCTAATGTTGGGCGCCATGTTGCCCCTCCATCTTGAAAGTACATTAGTCAAAGAGGGACATACCCATTAATTCAAGCTTCGCCTTGCGCATTTACGTTTGAATTACGGTAACACTCATGGACAAGGTCGAACCGGAAGCCATGTTAATCTTGGACTACAATGGCCACCGTAGGAGTTAAAACGAAATCGGAATTGAGAGGAACAGAAACTAATATTCACTGGATGATCATATACCTTTTCACCCCTAGATGGGGGTAAAAATCACACAGTGTAGCTAGTAAGTTTTTTTTTGAAAGAAATAAACTACTTTAATTCACCAAGGATGCATTAAATTGATCAAAAGTGACAGGAAAGACTTTCTATTGATCAAAGAATCCTAAAGAAAATGTTTTACAGTTTCCACAAAAATATTAAGCAGCACAACTGTTTCTTGAGCATTAAATCAGCATATCAGAAAGATTTCTAAAGGATTATATGACAATGAAGACACTAGAATACATTAGTAATTATGCTGAAAATTCAGCTTTGCCATGACAAGAATAAATTACTAATTTTTAATTATATTAAAATAGAAAACAGTTATTTCAAATTTTAACAATATCTCACAATATTACTGTTTTTGCTATATTTTGATTAAAAAGTAGCCTTGAAATGTCTTTCAAAAAACATTTTTAAAAATCTTACCGACCCCAAACTTTTGAATTGCAAATTATCAATAAAATTACGTTAGTAATGTTTTTTTAAAATGCTTAGTTAAACAACAGAAGTATGTAAAAAGCACGTGTAATCATTTCTGCCGTAATATTTATGCCTTGAAGGCCAGAAAGCGCACATTTTTCATATTAATGTGATCATCTGTACATCTGTATTTAATTTATAGAGCTTTCTAGAGAAATGCCATATCATATCGACATCATTCACCACTTAATCAATTCATACCAAATACGTGGAGTTTGAGTTCTCCCTGAAGAAGTATGCAATGTGGAAACTACAGTGTGTTTCAGCAAGATTTTGGCCCATGAGTGGGGCAATGACAAATTCTCAGTGCTGTAAGACTGCTCAGAGCTTTGTTCTTGTTGTCTACCTGCAAAGACTCAAAAATACGAGCACTTAGCCTAGAGGACCAGACGGAAACCTTTAATAACTGTTTGCTATTCTTTGGCGGACAGACTCTGACAGCAGCTGCAGTGAGCGAGAACCATGACCTCCCCGAATGACAGAGTTTAGACATTGTGGTTCATCCACCTGCTCAACTTCAACCCACATAAATGTCAGAGATTAAACCAATGGCTATAAATACAATTTAAAATGCTATAGACATATAGACTTCATAAAACCTAAATCTACAGTTTGCAGTGTAATTTTAGTAATGCAAATATGTAAAATTTATGGTCATGACTGAGTTTCCAAACATCCCCACCATTTAAATTAATTTGAATAATAGAAAATGCTAAAGTATATTGTTATATATTACATTACAGCCCATTCTCACTCCCAAGGCGTCACCTAACTGACGCCTTGGGAAGCATTTGACCATGCTTCAATATCTGACGCTTTAGGCGCCCTTTAGCGTCAGTTAGATGACGCCGTAGGATCGCGTCATGTAAGTGACGCTAAAGGGCGCCTAAAACGTCAAATATTGAAGCATGGTCAAAGGTGACGCCTTGGGGTGAGAATGTGTTGTACATTATAGTATATTGCTATTTCTGTGACAACTCTCTGAGTGTTTGGCATGGAAATTAATGTGACAATGCTGATATGTTTGCTTTTTGCGGAATAGACCTGCTACACTGCTGCAGACAAAGTACGGGACTTGCTAATGTCATCACTGTAAAAAAATATTGTTGGTTTAACTTAAAAAAATTAAGCAACCTGGTTGCCTTAAAATTTTAAGTTCTTTGAAATGGAAAAATTGAGTTAAAGGAGTGCTTCACTTTTAAAAAACTTTTGTTGATAATTTACTCACCCCCATGTCATCCAAGATATCCATGTCATTCTTTCTTCAGTCGAAAAGAGATTACATTTTTCTCCATATAATGGACTTCAATGGGAACCAAACGGTTTAAGGTCCTAAAGACAGTTTCAGTGCAAACTGAAAACTGTTTAAAGGGATTTAAACGATTCCAGACGATGAATAAGGGTCTTATCAAGTGAGACGATCGCTCATTTAAAAAAAAAAGTTTTATAAGCTCAAATGGTCACCTTGCTCTGTTGTGTGATGCACGTTCGTGACTCTCCTATTCGAACTCGTTCATCGAAATGAACGAATCTTTTCCTGAGTCAACTCGTTCATTTTGTTCATTGAATGAAACAAATGACACGAAAAAACATTTGTTCATTTTGATAAACGAGTTCCAACAGGAGAGTCACGAACCCGCATCACAGAACAGAGCAAGGCGACCATTTGTGCTTATAAAACTTAAACTTTGTTATTTTTTTAAATGACCAATCGTTTCGCTTGATAAGACCCTTATTCATCGTCTGAAATTGTTTAAAGCCCTTTGAACAGTTTGCAGTTTGCTCTGAAACTGTCTTTTGGACCTTGAACCGTTTGGTTCCCAATGAAGTCCATTAAATGGAGAAAATTCCTAGATTGTTTTCATCAAAAACCTTAATTTCTTTTCGACTGAAGAAAGAATGACATGGATATCTTGGATGACATGGGGGTGACTAAATTATCAGCAAAAGTTTTTTTTTTTTTTTTTAAAGTGAACTACTCCTTTAATACAATGGAGATTGATTTAATCATCAGAAACTCAAAATATTATGTTATCTGAACCACATAAATTATTTAAGTTGATTTGACAAAAAAAAATGTTGTGATTACAAATCATGAACATACTGTATATATATATATATATATATATATATTGCAGTGAGGAGTCATGCCAACGTGTTACTTCAATAATATAAATAATAGTGATGGAACAGTTTTTTTAGTTCAGCCTGGCCTGTGTCTGAACTTGTTCCTCCCTTCTCTCCCTAATGCAATAGAAGCAAGCAGTATTACCTAATAAGCACAAGAGTAGCTGGAACCATTTGTTTATACTTTCTGCGTAATGAGTGAGTGGTTCAGAACGATCCGATTAAAACAAGATATGAGTGTTGTTTTAATCGGATGGCATGTACTGTATCTGGTCTGACTCAAAGATAAACATTAAAGGAGAAGAATCTAGCAATCTTCTTTTTCGCTAAACGGTACCAAGGCAATGTTTACTCTAGTATTATTGACATCATGACTCTAAACAACATCAATTTACAAACTTTAGGAAGGAAATGTGTGCCACCTAATGGCTGATGTGTTCATATCTGCACAGGACAGCTGTTTTGAACGTGTTGAGCATGTACTTTGAATGTGTTTTGAAACATTGGTGATAAAGTATCAGACAAAAGAAAATTTTGCTAAACTATAAAGGAAACAAACCACTTTTACAGTAGTATATTATTGAGACCATCAGCAAAAAGGAAAAGTTTGACATGTTTTATTACTTTTTCATTTTGTACAAAATGCAAGTTTAACTTACTAATGAAAAACAATATTTACTAGGTGGTAAATAATATTGTATAATACAATAAACAGTATCTCCAATCCTGGTAAGCGATAAAGAAAATAGACAAGTGATATCTGACACATCTATATAATATAATGAAACTGTGACTTGATAGATCAAAAGAGAGAATAGTAAGGCATGTCTATTCAATGTTTGATGTATACACCCTTTAACATAAGTAGAAAAACATCCACTGTTTCTGGCCATAACATCCTCTTCCTGTCAGTCCACATCCGGTCTTTATGACTTCACAGGAAATAAAAAGGCAGTTTTCCATGGTTCCCCTGAAAGAAGCGTACAATCACCATTGTATTAGTATCCTACTAAAACAAAGGCCTTGATCATTTTGATGCCTATAGAATCCTTCAAACAATGGGGTCATGTTTGTCACGGTTTACATCGATGAGGATCATGGGAGATCAGATCTATAACTAAGAGAGCGCATGCTTCATTCAAATGGGGATGTGGAAAGAGTCTTTGATCCACTGGTCTCGGGAGTTCTGAGTGGGCTGAGGAAGGGATAACAGCGTCTCCCCACTCTCCCCTTCATTTTCATCTTCATCTTCCTCCTCTTCATCTTCAGAAAAGCCATTTTCAGTGTTGAAGGAGCTCTCGCACAAAGAAGAGGAGATGTCCTGGAAAGCTCCTTTGTATTCCTGTATGGACTCGTATAGAGACCACAGCTGGCACAGCAAGGACATGTCTAACTGTCGGAGACCAACCTGCAAAAGACACCAGAACATATGAGCTATGCAGAGTTTGGATACACATTTTAATTACCTCTTATGTACAAACAATATATGTTCAGCTGTTGAGTTTGCATGGTAAAATTTTTTTACATTTTGTAGGAAGATGCTCCCTTTAAAAAAATAGACTGTAAAAAAATATTTGACCAATATGTTATAACAACATATGTTTTTACATTGCCGTAACTAACAAATTAAGCCAAGAAAATTTCAACTTTTTTTTAAAGTTATTCAAGATACAACTAATTTTTTTTAAGTCAGTTTAATGCAATTTAAGTTGAAATTACTTAAACATCCAAGTTAGTGGTACTTATGTAAGGCAACTATTTGTTTAGCTTAACATTGCTTTCGATTAAACTGTCAAAGAAATGTTAAACTTTTATCAAAATGCAAATGACCGTCATACAAAAAGATTATTTAATGATTAACATGTTTTTAATTTCCGAATTAAAAGTTTTTGATTTTTTTTTTGGAGCTCAAGTCAAACATTTCGGGGTAACTGTCCAGAGATTTTAAAATAATAAATAAATAAAAAATTGTATTCAGGTCAAAAGGAGTCAACCTAAAAAGCTTGATATTCTAAAAAAAAAAAAATAATAATTTTTTTGAAAAGTTTTTTTTGAATTATTTTTGGAGCTCAAGTCAAACATGTCTAGGTAGGGTAACTGTCCAGAGATTGTAAAATAATAAATAAAGAAATAAATAAATGGGATAAAAAAAAATTGTATTCAGGTCAAAAGGAGTCAACCTAAAAATCTTGATATTCTTAAAAAAATATTTTTGTGAAAAGTTTTTCAAAAATGTATGAAACTACAATGAATAAGATTACAAATTTAGCCAACATTTCGTTTACATTTTCAAAAAACTTAGCACGTTTTTAAACGAGACATTCAAAAGATGTACTTTTTAAATAATCTCTAACATTTGTCTTTGAACCATAAATAGCTGCCAATTTATCAGATATCCAGAGAAGGTCACACACACACACACACACACACTGGCACATTCCGGCGTTGTCTAATACATACCATCTCTTTGCGCAGCACGGCCAGCGCTGCGTCAAGGCTAGCTGGTTTACTGCGGCCAAGACAGTCGCTCACTCTGGACTTGCTGATGTCCGCTTGGATGCGTGTCCTCTTGCTGTAGACCTTTTCAATGTCCCTCCATGATCCCCCGCTCGAGTTTAGGATGCCACTCAGCCCTTTGGGTAACGGAGGCAAACCTTCAATAGAACAGACGCTTCCAGCCGGACAATCCGCTGGACTAGACTGCAGCCCGTTCATTTCCGATTCCACTGATTTCGCTTTTAAAATAAAATCCTGGTTTGAAACTTTTCTAGGCCTGGTGTTGTTATTTTTCTCATTTATTTTTTAACACAATTAAAAATATGCAATTGAGATTAAATGTACAATCTTTCTATAAAAAAGAGAAGCTAAAGCTGAAAGCATGACCTTAACTGCAACCAACTGTCACGTCTAAAAACTAACTTCCGGAAAATATAAAGAAAAGTCATATGCGATATTCCTCATATGTAACCGCTGGTCTAAACTAAATTATAACTATAACAGCTCGTTTACACCGTATCTCTTCAGGAGACATTTGATTTTCCGCTCTTCCTTAACGTTCCTTGCATTTCGTCTTAAAGCAGCGCATTTATTCTACATCTCGAGAACAACACAAATCCCTACCCTGGCCTTAGATATAAGAAAAACTGGCCAGGGAACCCTGGTCGGGAGATCAAGGCGCCCAGCTTTGTTTTCGCTTAACGTTTTCTTTTGTCTTGTGCAACTAAACCTCGCCCACTCAATCTCTCCGCCCAGTGCGCCGTTTAGCCACAGTGAGGCGCTGTTTCTCATTTCCAGCAGTAATCTGCTGGATAGGGATTCATCTGAGCTTTCTGAGGGAAAAATTATCGGACCATTCGAACAGACCCGTGTTTTGTCTTTTTTGTCTAAAAAGCGAAACAGAATAGTGGAATTTGAAAAAAAAAAAAAAATCCTAGAAGCGTAAAAACTTTTTACACTACGTTTTAAGAGTATTGTGTCAGACGCAAGATGTAAACGCAAGCACAAGTCTGTCCAGCAAGTGTTTGTGCAGAAAACCACAAAAAATTAACAATTGAGTAGAATAAAAAAGGCAAAGCCTAGAAACACCTTTTTTTAAAAGTTGAACTTTATTAGCACTAGCACAATGGTCACTTCTGTCTATTGCTTTACAAAGAAAAACGATAGAAAAGCGCCGTAGTGGAAGGCAAAAACAGGTTTTCCCCATTCCATTAAGTGCATATCACTTTTTTCAATGCAAAAACATGTTCTATGTGACTGGCCTCTTAAGGGCCCGTCAGGTTTTTTTTAGTTTTAAAAACACCAGATGCAGGGCAGCGGAAAAAACAAAACAAAACGTCTGTATACATCGAGGCTGCTTCATTTCAGTAAACTGACCACAACATTCCAAAGTCATTAAAACATTACGAATAACAGTCAATTTTATAATAGTTACTATTCTGAAATGAGACATCCTTATGACGTATGCAGACGACGAAAGGGACAGGAGGACGCAGTCTGCTCATAGCACCAAAATAGTGCCACTGTTGTAACATTGTCACAACGGTCAATTCAGTGCTTTCAGAAAATATGGATTTCATAAAGAAATGGGGAAGACATCATGAAAGAAAAAAACAGCAAGCACATGCTGCTTTGGAACAAACACAACTGAAACGCTCCATTGAGTACGTTACTATATATGTGCTGTTCATATTTCCTTTTATATGCGTGTGTGCTGTTACAGCCCTGATTTTAGTTCAGTCTTAAGAGAGCTGCAGCTCTTTCAAGCTACGCAGGGATTCGGCACAGCCTCGGATGAGATTGCAGAGCTGAATACTGGCCTCAACTGACGCAGAGTGCTGGAGCTCCTGCGTGGCCCATCTGAGTTTGTGTAGCACTGCCTCTTCTGCGCTCGACAAGGCTGCGTGCTGGAGGGTGTTACCCAAGGACCCTGAAGGAGGTGTAGTCTGGACAGAAGGGTTTGCAGGTGGTAGGAAGTTTGCGCTGGCAGGGGGGGCAGAAACAGGAGTGGACTGAGCGGTGGGAAGGGGACCTCTTAGTCCAGACGCGGCCCCCTCGCAGTGCTCCGGCCTGGGCTGGCCCGTGATGGACAGAGGGGGTTCGCTGGATGAGGGTCCGTTCGATTCAGGGACAGATTGACTCGCAAGCTGACGCTCTCTTACCTGTGACAAGGCTGCCTGGGCATTCAAAGCTGAAAAGGGAAGTGAAAAAGTTAACAGAGATACACAAGAGTCAAGACTGTACATTCATAAACAACAATTCAAGAGGCTGCATCTAAACGTACCTGGGTTGTCCTTGTCGACGTCGGAGTCCAGCTCTTGACAAGCAACACAGTAATATTTCTTCTGCTTATCTTGTAGCAGAATTGTCTGCAAATATGTAGGACAATTCATTGCACTCTTTAATTCATACATATTGTAATCAAAAATAAATATGAATTATTATAATTCCAGTGGTCTAAACACCTGAGAATGCTAGTACAATTCTTATGTTTCTCTCCCACCCATTTATTAGCATAATTTCAGTGAAAAGATGAACTGACTTTTAAAATAATAAAAAAAAAAAAAATGAAAGAAGAGGTTTATTTCAAGGTTTAAATCAGATTTTTTATTGGTATTGGCAGATATTGGATATTTAATATTAGATTATCATAACAGTAATATTATGCAATATTATTGCAATTTAACAGTTTTCTAATTTAATGTTAAATGAGATTTCTTCCTGCGAGTTGCAGCATGATTACTTCAGTTTTGAGTGCCACACAATCCTTCCAAAACCATCCTGATTTGTTGCTCAAAAACATTTCTTACTATTATCAATATTGAAAACAGTTGTATTGCAAAAAATATTTGTGGAAACCGTGATACGTTTTTTCAGGATTTTAAGATCAAAAGTACAATAGAAATATTTTTATTAAATTTAAACATACATCTATATGCCCTAATATTACAACTGTGGCAAATACTAGTATATATATATATATATATGTGGTATATAATATATATATATATATTAGGGCATACTTACAGTTTATAAATATGGTACCTCAATATGTGTGTGTGTGTGTGTGTGTGTGTGTGTGTATATATATATATATATATATATATATATATGTATTCAGATGCAAAACTCTAATGCCATTTGAAATTTTCTTCTTTAATGATGATTTTTATCAAGCTTGTATATTTAAGTTCAGTAATTTCACTTAAATAACAATTAATAGGTAATTATCATTGCCATTTAAGTGAAATTACTGAACTTAAATATACAAGTTTGATAAAAATCATCATTAAAGAAGAAAATTTCAAATGGCATTTAGAGGCTTTTGCATCTGAACTCTTCATATATATATATATATATATATAGTGTTTATATACATCATGGATTATCCATGTATTTTAACAATAAATGTTATGAAGTCACTGACGAGTGAATGTAAGGTGTTTTTCACTCACCCCACACAGCTCACAGCAATCCCCCAGCATCTTATATCCCTTCAGCAGATAGTCTCCCATCAGCTTGCTTATCTTGTCCTGCCGCTCCCGTCGAGCCTGAATCACCTTCATCTCCGCCTCGGAGGGAGGTTCCCATTCAAAGTCTTCATCTAGATTCATCAAAGCACATGGATTCCTTATGTGTTTGTCATTAATGTAACGTTACAGATGACAAACAGCCAGCCAGCCAGCTAGCTAGCTAGCATCCATGTGTTTGGAGATTTCAGACAGTTAACACAACTTTAGGTTCGGTTTTCCATAGACTGTATAAAATAAGTTTGTCACTAATAATCACTTATGATAAAGCCATTGTAAAGACTTAGATATTTCGTATAAATTAAAACTACACACCCATACCGACAGACATTGAAGCGCTAACCTGCTAGCGTGAGATGTTTTTTTAGCGCTGCTGCACGTGCACTACTTTAGCACGACGGAAGAAAGTGAAGTGACTGAAGATTATTGAGAGATATAAACAGGGAAGTCAACAACAGAATAAACAAAATATGACTTTATTCACATTTTACCTGCGTTAAGGGCCATGCTTTCCTCATCAGCCGCCTCACACGCAGATAACGTTTCCTGCTGCTCGAAACATCAGCGGTGAAATGTGTGTGTATTAAAGAGTGACGCCATCTAGCGAGCTGAATGTAAGTCCTGATTACAGAGTCCTGACTCAAGCAGTTTTGTTTCACTTTTATTGAATATGACCACATTGAAAAGCTGACAAACTGGAAATAAAGAGAGTTTTAGGATTTTGACAGCTTTTTAAAACTTTAATAAAAGTTTTGAATTATTAGAGCATTTTTAAAAATGTAATATACAATATATTACAATTTTTCTTTAAATAAATAAATAAAATGTACAACTTGTATTGGCTTTCATTTTGTTGCTAACACTTTATAATTCCATTTGTTAACATTATTAACAACATGAACAAAAAAGGCACGAAATCACAATGAGCAGTTGTTTTTTTAAATTAATGTTAACAAAGATTAATATAAATGTATGTTACATTCTCATTGTTACGTAATGTTAGTTAATGCATTAACTACATAGGCTACTATATGTAGGGTTCTATGTAGAACATAAACATCATTTAACTTTTTTTCTAAGAGTGTAATGTTAACTAATTAAACATTATTGTAAAGTTTAAAAAAAAAGTATTATAATCTTTCTTATTATCTTTCTACCATTATTAAATCTGGTGAAATACAATTTCAAACAACATGACCACAGAACTACAATGTAAATATTGCATTTACACATCAGACACCCAATACGTTTTATGATGTTATCAGACCAACACTCAATTGTTCTAATAATAGTCTCAGCTGAGTGCCAATATGGCTGGTTTGGGTTTTGCTCGTGCAATCCCAGCAGGATCCCCCACAGTCTCCTCTCCAAGGACACTGTCCTCTCGCCAGTTTCCACGCCACAGAGTGCCGAGCCAGCGCAAAGTGCTCTCATCCCAGTTTTCTGGAAGCTGCAGCATGAGATACCCTGCTGAGATGATGCTGGCTGCTGCTGCTCGCACATGGCTAATGTGCAGAGTTACGGTCACAAATGTATCTACAGCTTGAAAAAGAGAGAGAAGGCAATAGATTTGACCATGGAAAAATATGCAAGGTGCAAAAACAGAAATTAAACGAATAAATGATTAATAAAACGTATGAGAATCATAAACTTTTGTTGGTCGCAGATCTTATTTCTGCAATAATCCAAAAGCCGATGCATGGGTCTTTTGTTGAGGGAACCAGGGTGATGCTAACTTCTACGAAATCACTGCAGCACTCTATTTCACATGTCCGTGAGGCTTCAGAAGGTCTATTTTTATGTTTATTTATGTAGAAATACATACCTGCACTCGCTGGGATGGTCAAGAAAATTCCCAGAGAAATTAAACTGGGGTACGTAAACATTCCTCCCAGATTTACCAGCACATTGAAAACTTAGGAAAAAACAGGACAAAAAATAGTTAAAAGTTATATGTCGAATAATAATCTGACCTGTTTTGTTTTGAATGCTTAATCATATTAGTAATAATATCAACAATAAATGATGAAATTATAAAAACTTGAATAAATAATAACAATAATATCATTTAAATACAATCAAATATAACACATAAGTATTTTAAATTTTATAACTTCAGAACTTATAAACATTTAATGTGTGCAATCATTATTACATAATGATAGTGGAGAACAAAAGCATAAGTTACCAAGCAGTAGAGAAGCCATGACACAGAGTTTATCCCAGGGGATGTGCTGGGAGGGAGGCCAGTACTCCACATGTGTGAAATAAAGCAACACACACACCCAGGAGTGGAGGACGAAACTACACAGACCCACGCAGGATAGTAACACACTGGCAGGGCCTGGATGGACATTCCCTACACGCTTTCTGAAAAGCACCTGAGACATGAAGCCACCAGTTATTAAAGTAAAACTGCAGAAAAAAACCAAACATTTCAGTTGTTTATGCATTTTTAGATTTAAATTAATTTAACCTCACAGTCTTCTGAGTTTTGTAGTGAATTAGTAATTTTAAGAACGGATAATTGGCTTTATGCACAGCTGCACTGTTTCCTGTCTGCCATTACTGGACAAACTTGATTAATCCAGGTGTGCCTGATTATTATTGTTGACACTACTGAGGTCAGACACACCTGGATTAATCAGTTTTTTTTTTCCAATAATGGCAGACAGGAAACAAGGAGCTGACTTAAGTTCAGGAAGTAGTGGAGCTCTGCATAAGGCCAATTGTTTTGGTTGTGAACGACTCAGATTTGGGCTAAATTAGTCAATGACTCGTTCCACTTACTGTAACTGAATAACGTGACACGGTCAGTGACTAAACGAAAGTGAACGTTTCATAAAGAATTGTTCTGATGAACGAATCTTTTTCGGATTCAAAAGAGTCACATGGGATGAATTAAAATCCCCACCTCTAGTGCTGACCTTGAATAAAGCAGAAGCTGAAGCTGAGCCAACTCCCAGTGCCACTCCTGTGATTGAGTCGCTGTGAAAACCATCCCCATAGACCAACATAACAATGCCAGTGATGGACAGGACGGCAGCTACTACCTAAATAGAAATTAAAATAAATAAATGAATATTTGTGATTGCCTCAATGAATTGTCTTTCACAGTTTGATTGCTCACCCTGACACCCATGAAGCGGTCCTTAAGTCCGATCCATGAAAGGAGGAAAGTAAAAGCTTGGCTGCAGCAGAGGACGGCACTTACATCCACTTTGGATATGCGGCAAAGCGCCAATAAGTACAAATAACCAGATAAACTCCATAGCACAGAGAACGGAGCTGCTCCTTTCAGAACAATCCTCACGGTCAGTTTTTCACCCAGGAACTGACTACATTTTCTGTATGTCAAAAGAGAATAGAAAACAGCAACACGTCACATCAAAATGATCCCACAACAGTCTTACTTATTCTTTCAGAAGAGACACAGGGGTGGACTGGGGCAAGTAGAAGTCTTATCTCAGTCACACTCTAAAAATTGGTTGTTTTAATCCAACTTTGGGTCATATATGGACAAACCCAGCCATTGGGATACATTTTTAATTACATTTTTAATCCAACGTTTGGTTAAAACAACCCAACATTTTTAGAGTGCATTAGCCTAATCCAAAAGTCCAATAATACAACAAAGCAATAAGCCTGTTGTTAGGCACGACGTGGCTTCACAGGGCCTATTTGCTTTTATAAAACGGTTAATCCATAAAAATACTTATTTTGGTGTATCTTTGTACACTCACACACAAATTTGGGGCAAATATGGACAAACCCAAATGTTGGGTTAAAAATGTAATTAAAAAAATTTCCAGTTGAAAGTGAAAGTTGAAGTTGGGTTCAAATTTGAAATGAAATTTTTAACCCAACATTTGGGTTTATCCATACATTTGACCCAAATTTAGGTTAAAACAACCCAGCATCGTTTAGAGTGTAGAGTAATTTACAACACACCTCAACCAATCAAATCAAGGAATAGAATAATCAGTTTTATAAATGTGTTTTCAGGCAGTGTTTGTAAAACTTCTAATTTTGGCCATGGCAAGAAATATTGATCCAAAATGTAAACAATACTTGAAATTTGCATGGGTCAAAACAATGTCTCACTATTGGGGCATGTTGTCACAAAAGGTCAGTAAGTTGGTAGTTGGTAAGCAAATTAATTAGAGAAAAAACTTGCCCCTGTACCCCTGTCAATTAATTCAAAGGATGATTTATTTGCAGGTGAATTTTCTGCAACAAAAACCAATATCCACAATATTTCACAAGTAAAGATGAATGTATGGAGTTTTATTAATAGAACGGCCTAAATCCCATGTGTAAAAATACAGCTTAGTCAGGACTCTGTGCATGCACAATACAATTTATAATGAAGCTTTAACCTATCCCCATATGATAATGCTGACGGTTTTACTGTTATACCAACAGCCAGCCAGTCTCAATGATGACTTTGCACTCATTATTGGTTGTTGGCCAGGCATAGATTCATTAATAAAGTGGCAATTTGTTCAGCTGCACTAGAAGCTGGGAGGATTAGGGACTGAAAGCAGCTTGCACTAAACAGCTTTCAGAACATTAAGTCAAAATAAGAATGATACAAAACAATAACGTTCATTTTACTTGATTTAATTGCTTAAGCACTATATGACAAACTTATACTGACTGCCAAACATCCTAACATGAGCAAGTCATGAAGATTATTTTAAATGATCCAGTGTTCATTTTAAATGTTTTCTTCTGACCTGAACTCGGTGGTTGGCAACTCCTTCTGTTTCTCCGTGAGAAGATGGCACAGATAGTAGAAGGGAAAAAAGAGAACGTTCCAGATGCTACAGAACCAAATGATAAAGAATGGGGTGGGATGTTTTATCAGAGTTTCTTTCGCACTGTGAGTGCCCCAGGCCCAGGAAACAGCCACACAAGCCCCTAAAACGAGGCCACAGGTCACCCTCCGCACAGCTCGAAATGGCCATCGAGTGCAGCAACGTTTAGATGGTCTTTCTGCATCAGATTCATCCTCAACTAAGTTCTGTTCCTGGGGATCCTTCTCACTTACTAAGAAAAACAAAGACAAGCCATTTAGAGTATTACAATTGTCACCCTTTCCTACTTCTACATTTGATAGATTTCCATGCACTCTTAAAATGTAGGCTCCAATAAAGAGTGATGGCAACCAGTTTTGGTTCCCCATATAACCTTTCAGTAAACTTTTTTTCTTAGTGTGAAAAACATTTCCTTCATATTTAGACAAAATCTCCCACAAAACACCCTTTTGTGCAATGGAAATAATATCTAAACCAAAATAATGTCAAATAATAATATCACAACTCCAGTAAACTATGCAGAGCTAAAAAAAACAACAACATTACCTGGTGTTGGCAGGTGAAGCGTGATGGGTGGCTGTCCGGAGGAAGGAGATATCTTGGCTGTGAGTTTGTTCATTGTTTGTTGTGCTCTCCTAAAAAAACCCTAACCCTTAGGTCAGGGTTCTGACCCCCTCTCTCATACAAGTAATATGCTTTAAGTAAACCCATGCTAAGTGCAGATTACTACAGATCCACCTGTGATTAAAAATCTAAGGTTTAACAGCTTACAGTCTCACATGCTAAATGCTGTTAAATCAGGATGAAGAGTACTGTCAATGCAGTGACGTTTTGCATTGACAGTTTTATTATAATAATATAATGGATTATATAGATATTGTAAATATTATAGTATTAAGTCTCTCAACCACCATTAAGATTAAATTGACTCAATAAAAACACTGATGAGATGGTTGTAATTGTAATTATTAAGAACAAGATTAGGGCAAGACAATTTAATTATGTAGTATCTCCAGTCTCCAAACTCACAGTAAAATCCCCAGTGTTAAATTAACACTGAGAGTGTGAATTATATAAACTCTGAGCAGAGTGTTAAATGAACACTGAAGCGCTGTTAAAGTTAATGAGATAATTAAGTGAATAATTGAGTGATAATTGAGCATTATTGAAGACACCTAACAAGCAGAATCACTGAAGGAGAAAACCGTAATTTTAAGTCACCATTATGGTGATCAGTATTCACTTTATTTGGGCTCTTGACCCTTAAATCATTTACTTTATATTTTGTTTGGCTGCTGTACATGAGTTATAACAACCAGATGTGAATAAATAGAAAATGTAATACCATCAGGTGCCTTCAATAATACTCAATCATCACTCATCTCATTAATTTTAACACTGCTTCAGTGTTCATTTAACACTCTGCTCAGAGTTTATATAATTCTATATTTCTATATATAATATAATTTATATAATAAGCTCGTTTCGTGTCTTAGGCCATCAGTGTGTACTTACATTTACGAGTCATTAAATCATGTTTAATTTGGACTTCTCTGTGCATGCTCTTTGAGGTGGTGACCATAGACCCCCATTATATGACTGACAGACAACAACGGTTTGACCTAAAAATATCAAAATTGAAAATACTGCGGAAACAAAGACACCTACATTTTGGATGCCATTGAGGTAAGCTAAAACATATCAAAAATTAATTTCAAAGTGAACTATCCCTTTAACTATTACCTAATCATGAACAATAAACAGCATTAATTACCCTTTGTTAATTCATGCATTCATGATAGTTCACAGTGCATTAACTAATGTTATAAATCTTTTGATCTTCAAAATGTATTAGTAAATGTTGAGATTAACAAATTGTTCATCAATGTTAATGAATGAAACCCTTTAAACTATATTCACACGTTTACCATTTAGTGTTTTATCATTTATACCAATCCATGTAAACACAAATGTACATGAAGGTTTTGGAGGTATTTTATTTGGTTTTATGACTCAAGAGTCAAAAATTCCAGACATGACAAAACAAACAACACAAAGTCACATGAGTTGCTGATATTTAAATGACTACACACTAGGCAAGACAAGTTAACACAAGCATACACAATGAAGTGATTAAACTCCATAGATTTTGAAATTCCTCACTCACACACACTTTGTAAACTATGGGATAATGTATAGGAAATATGATGACCATCAGGGAGCACTTTCTCCAAGAAGCGGTGTTATTATATACTCCTGTCATTGTCTGAGACGTGACTTTTTCCTGTGCTGTCTCGCTGTGAGGGAATGTACTCGAGGGTAACGTCTGTCCTGTGGAATCTTACACGGACATTCAGTCTGTTTTAATCAGAGAGGGAGACAAAAAAAATTGGGTGAGATGCTTAACGGCACAAAAACACTGGTAGACCACGTTTGGCCATGGCAAGAATGAAGAGAAAAGCAGGTGCTTGATTACCTTTGGGTTTGGGGTGCATCAGGGTCAGAGGCAGCTCTACGGTCACATCACTGTAAGGAGAAAACAACAGGTTAGAAAAAGGCCATTTATGATTTCCCATAATGCATTTAAAAGGTTTTCTCATTTTTGACCTACCTTGCTGTCAGACCTCCCAGCAGACTGCAAAAAAGGAGAGCAGAAACAGATATTTTTACAATAATAATAATTATTGTGTGTGTTTGAGTGTGCATCTAAATATATGTATGTTCATATAATTATTACTATTGAAACAATAATTTGTTTTTGTGAGTTTAGCATAAACTGGACCGATATCTCAAAGAAAGAAATCCTTACCCTCCACCTGATACCATGAGGTTAACTTTGATCTTGTAGGACACCAAAATTCCCAAAACTTCCTTATCCATTCCTGCCCTCAATCTGAAGAAAGGACGGAAAAGTAAATGAATAATTAGCAGAGTTCACGGTAGCGAATGTGCTGTATTAGGAGCAGTTCATTACTCATCATTTCTATTGGGCGTTCTGTAAAAACTCTGTTTGAAAATGAAACAAACACTCACATAGTGGTTGAGGCCAAATTGGTGTCTTCATCTTTAAGCCTGCCGTCCAATGCCAAGCCACGTTTCTCCTTGTTGCTTGACAGCAAAGGAGTGATCTTGAGGGTTTTTTCAAAATTTGCACTCCCTTCTATAGTTTCCCTGGAGAAAAAAATGGAATCATATAGGTTAGATACCTTACAATTGATAATCAAAGAGACCATATCACAGTCAAAGAAAATGACACTCACCCAAACTCTTCATTCAGCACATTCTTGGTGTATTTGTCGGCTGAGTAGAGAACGACGTCTGTGGTTTGGTCAACTATGAGAGTAATGGATACAACATCAGATCGTTCAAATATACTGCTATATTTATTGTACCCCCCAATTTAAATAACTTAAATCAATATTTGATGTCCATTTATTGATTTATTTGGAAGTAGTCGTGTAACAGGATAATATACAGTCAACTGGTCATTATAGCAAAAGAAGTATGGTACAATAACCCTGTCAGGGGTTATACTTTGTAATATTGACATTACCTGTTACACATACAGCTTGTTAAAATTGCTTGATCAATCTCACCTGTAACCTTTATTTTCTTCACAACTTTGTTTGTCTCGTTCTTGACCTTAATGTTAATGGGGATGGGATCACCATGGTAGAAGATCTGTCATCAATGGGAAAAAGACACATGAATTTCTTCTCGATTTGGTAAAAATCAAAGCATTCAGTTTGTGACAGTTTACACACTTCCTTGTCCAGAGAGGCTTCCAGATGAACAGGCTTGTCAGACATCATAAAGCTCTTGCAGATCTCAGCTTTGTGTCCAGAACCTGTGTTATCGGGAGCGAACTGGATTTTACGAATGATAAGGCGGCAAGTGTCCCTGAAAGAGACGAGAGAAAAATATTATTTGTAAAAATAAAAATTGTTGACAGGGGGTTAACGTGCGAAAGAACCTAGAACACACTTACTTCTTGTCGACTTTCTCATCGGGGTCATCCGCTGATTTGGCCACGTAGGCTTTGACCTCAAAGTCAACACCGCAAGCCTGAAAAAACAGAGCCATGAGCAAGACCATTCAGCGTATTTCCATTTGAAGATAATATATTGAATTCGCTCTCATTTCCTCTCACCTTTCCTTGGTCATCTGGGCCAGGCTGAAGTGTAACAGAGCAGGGGAGATTGGTAGGGATCTGAAAGGAAAAAGACAATTTGTCACATCTTTGACAAATGGTGTACAAATAATATTTCTTATTTATGAGGGGTTTGTATTATTTTATTGTTTTTCACAGTGTAAATGAGTTATTCCGTTGTTGGTGCTGGCCGATGACTTACATTAAAGGTGAATGGATGGCCCTGCTCTCCAGCTTTCTTTAGGAGAGTGTTGTGCATCTCTGTCAGGGCGGGTTTGTGGCCTGCATCAGGATATAGCTGGATGTGCTGAATCCAGATGTCTTTTCTGAAGGAAAGCCCAATCACATCCAGGTCTTCACGACCATAACGGAAAGCGCAGGCCAGCTGAATCCAAACTGCATGAAGCAACAATAAGCATCGTTTTTTTTTATTTGTTCTATTGTCTTAAATTCATTTTCAGACTTTTTTTTATGAAAAAAAAAAAATAACATAATCATATAAATTTGTTATTAAAATGTATTATTTATGCTTTTTATATAATATATTTATTTATTATTTTATATATTATATATATAAAAACTTAAACCTGACAATACCTTTTCTGTCGTCAAGGTCTGCAGGGTCGATTTTCACTACACCCTCTGTTTAGAATAAGAAACAATTCATATTTAGTTGTTGGATATTACCTGTTGTCTGTGTTTCAAAAATAAATGCAAGCAGTTTCTCACCAACAGCATCCACTGAGTCAACATGGTCAACAAAGTCTCTCTTCCCCAGGTAGAGAGTGAGCTGAAACATAAACAGTGCATTATTTATTTCCGTGTAATGAAATATGAAAATTCAAGCACATAACAATAAACTGAGCAATTCAATTCAGAATCAACTGAAAAATTATCATCAGTTGTACCTGGCCATTTCCACTGGTCTTTTTGTAAACTCTGAAAACACAAAAAAGAAAATTGTGAATAAGAAACAGTAAGATACATGGAGTGTGTATTAAACACTGATAAAACAAGATAAACAAGATAATGCCTGGCCATATATAAATACATTGCAGAGGGTGTCAAGAGGAGTGAGCAGGATCACTTGTCCTATTAGTTCTATACCTCAGGTATTTACCTCAGCAATGCATTTGAGTTATCAGGTTTGACCTTTTTGCCCTGAGCGATCCTCACGTTGTCAAAGCTTAGTATTTTAAGACACTTTAAGGCCAAGGACTGAAATACCCTTTGCTATTAATCCAGACTTCCTAAATGGAGGCAGCTTGTGTTTACTCCAAAGAGGATGCCTGGTAATTGATTGTGACTGCCGGCTTATGACTCAAATCAATGTTCAATCTATTCGAAACTTTCAAGAACATCCTCATTGTGGCATGTAAAGTAATTGTTTTTTTCTCTCTTACTGTAAAAAAAAATAATATTTTCATGATTTGTAATCACAACATTTGTTTTTAGATCATTTATGTTGTTCAAATAACATAATATTTTGAGTTTCTGATGATTAAATCAATCTCCTTCATTGTATTAACTCAATTTTTCAATTTTAATGAACTTAAAATTTTAAGGCAACCAGGTTACTTATTTTTTTTAAGTCAAACCAACCAAATTTTTTACAGATGTGTCTGCTGTAATGTTGGCCATCCTATCCTATCATATCCTACTTAGACAACACATATAAAGTGGTTTGTTAATTTTTGATTTCTCAATTTTTTTTTTGCACTTTGGATTGACCCTTTTTGTCACTTTCCAATTTTCTGGATACAGAAAAAAGGATACAATGTTAATAGAAAATATAAAAAAAGTGAGTTACTAAAAATGAGATACTCCAAACTAAGCACTTGGTAAATACTAATGAAAAGTATGATCCAGCAATGTTATAGTTCAGCAGGTTGCTATGCATAATTTGCTTTTCAACTTTCTCCAAATCTTTAATAAATTGTTTTGGTATTGAAAAGCACAACAAGTCGAATGCTAAATAATACAGTAAAATGTGTTAAAAACTTTTTTTTTTTGTATGTGAAAGCAAAAAGGAAAAAATACTTACTTTTCTGCCATTGCACAAAGATTTTCCTGAAATAAATGAAATAGGAAAGTTAATTTTATGAAGAGTGATTTTTTTAAACAAATGGCTTTGATGGCACAGACATACCCTGTACAGAATTACTCATCCAGTGAACTCAGATACTTTGATGTAACCATCTCTAAATATGCCAATTAATGAGCCTTAAGCTTATTTCTAAATGCAAATTGCATGGACAGGATATATTTTTGACTAAAACTACCATGAAGAGAAATCATATAGGTTGTGTGAGCACAATATAGGCCTACGTTTCAAATTAAAATGATCAAAATAAAAAAGATCTACTAGGCTATGTGCACATACTATAATGGCCTTTATAAATGCAAAAGAACCATGTTGAGACCTTTTAGATGTTTTTGCTCAAATCTAATTTGTCTAATGTCTCTCGTCTGTAAAGCTCCAATGCACATCATGAGGTTCTTAATGCTCATCATTGTCCAATATCAATTTAGTTGATTGAGTGGCTCTTCACAGGAAGTCTGAATGCAATCAAATATTGGTTGTACAAATGTAGGCTAAATGAATATTCACAAGGCGCTGCTGATAATCTGAAAAAGAGGGCTAAATGAACTCAAGTTAATTTAATACTTTAATAAACACAATAGTGTCCTGCTTTCTTTTGTAGGATAATGGGTATTGTTACCAGAATACCGAACTGAACGTTTTGATGTAAAGTCATTGAGATCTTACCTGTTAGGGCGATCTGCTCCTTCTCTGTGGTAATCCGCAGCCTGTCTGGTGTAGTCAGAGAGTGTGGTTGAGTCTCAGAGGCGAAGGGTTTTATACTCGGACCTTTGCTCTGATGGCTTGTGCTGCACTGATTTAGATGCTGTTGTCTTTCTGTCAATCCAATTAAACACTTTACATGCTATTTTGGGCTACGCAATGTTTATAAATACAAATAAAAATGGGGAATTACCTCAAAGAAATACAGGAAGCTTGCAAGGGTTTGGTCAAAAATATATGAAGTTTTTATTCCTAGTGAAAACATGAAAACATTAAACAAGAAAACAAGACAAGCGAATTATGAAAACAAGAGAATTATGACAGAACTGTGACTGGATTGGGACAAGGTTATGCATCTCATTTAGTCACATTTACAATCGACTGTTTTTTGTTTTTACTCGTTTTTTGTATTTTGCTTCACTTTTCAGTCTATTTTTGGCTTTATATCAAATGATTTATCTTAGCACTTGTAATAGTAGGTTATTAACAAACAATAGGCACATTTTCCAGATTTTAAACATTAAAAAGGCACATTGTGGAGCACTGTCTTTACTAAACCATCAAGTTCGACTTAAATTTATATATTATGTACTCTGCTTTACTCACCTTTCAAACCCTAAACAAGGGGAAAATGGTGCATGTATGAATGTACAGTAGCATCTAAATAAATTATGGTCAAGTATGACTGATGATATATAATATAATATAATATAGTCATATGAAATGTCCATAATTTAGCTTTTTACTTAACAAGGCCTCACGATATAAATGTAAATCAAATATTCCTAAACGTCAAAGCAGCTGGAGTGCAATTGGAACATGAGGTCAAACTTCAAAACACACGTGAGTGATGTCAGGATCTCCTTACTACCAGAAGTATTTTAAAGCCCAAAGTGGAAGTCCTAAACATAGACCATTCACCCTGTACCTTAATATAGAACTGCCCATATTTTGTTCACAATTTTAGATTTAGGATTTTTTCCATTATAAATCATTTATTTGTTCTTTTTCAACTTATGCTTAAAAGGACATTTAACGTTGGCTGCTTCATCATCATCGTCATTCCTTGAAAAATCAAGGAAACCCCAAAAGAAAGACAGCAGTATAGGGATAAAACAGGAGTCTTGCTGCTCCAGATGGCCAACAGGCTTGGGAACCCAGTGACGGCATGGGCACATAAACCTTACCTTGTATGATGAATTATGTTCCTTAAATTGTTTTCTTTATTATTTTAATTATACACTTTCAATCCCCACACATTAAAGGTGCTACCTTGCACAAAAGGTGTATGTAAGCTTGTTATGAAATCCCAATTTGCCCAACAGGAGGTAAATCTCTTAACGTCACTGTTCACTGAGATGGCTTTTCCTTCCATCTGTTCCCTCCTCTCAGGTACTGGCAAACCAATGACATCGTGTGTATGAAAAGGTCTTTACCAATCCCAAGAATTCAGAAGGAGCAATCAGATGGCGTTTGTTTCGCCAGTGCAAGAATTGGCACCCTAAGGACATTTCTTGTAATCCACTTATCGGTCTTCAAGGTCCACTTATTGCTAAGAGTTGACTAAAATAGCTACAGTCGAGTCAAAACATTACGTTAAGAATCTTTATTTCAGGACATGTTAAACAGCATCAATTATCAAAGCATTATTTAAAAGTGTGAAAGGTTAATTGATTCACTTAAACCTTTCTTATATTAGGGACATCTTGATTGCAATGATGTAACTAAAGAAAATCACATGAGCATTACACCATCAACCTCCATATTTAAAAAAAAATAATAAGAAAATTGTTAGAAAATAAAAAGTCAGTCACTCCTTAGTCCCTAACTTCTAATATCTAAGGTCCATTTTTAGTTCAAAGTGTGAAGACTTAGGATTTAATCCAAAGGTAATTACAGAAGAGCTCAGGGGCGCCTGTAATTACACTTTAGGGAGGGAGTGGGCAGGCTTGTTGAGAAAGAGGTAAAGCCCAGGTAACAATGTGTCAATGACTAGTGAATACATAAAGAATTACTTATTCCTAAATGAGTGAATTTTTCACGCATCCTTTTTAAAAAGGATTGTATAATATTTTTTATTTGAAACTTTTCTGACTTTTCCAACCAGCTACAGACCCTTTTCAAATAGAGCAGATATTTCTTTGAAATTGGTTAACGTTGAGTAATGATCCAAAGGTATGTTCATGAATGACTTGAAGTGGATCTACAATGTTATACATATCCTCCCTAGACGGCATCTGGATAATCACTGTTCGCATGAAAAACTCACTAACAGATCAGATATAACACTAACACCATATAACAGTCATTTTTGTCTGTTGATTAATGTACAGTTTGGTTCTGGTGCTGTTTTACCTACAATTGGCACAGATTGTTTCAAAGTTTAATCTCTCTTAATCTGTCTACACTCCCACTTTGTCCATAATGGGATTGTGTCGACTGAGCCCACATGATGGATTCCCTCTTCGTTAGAAAATGCTTGCAGTTCTCTGTGACAAAACCAATGTCACTCAAATGAAGTAAAGACTCTGGCCTGGCCTTTTGTCAATGCCCAAAGATCTGGATGGCACTCAGCACCTTCCTGGCATGTTTTCAGGTTGGCTTCCATTGTGATTAAGCTATTTAATCTTTGTCATGGACATCCAGTGTACAGACTGTTACATGGTTGGTCATTGTGAGGTCATTTTGGTCAAACAAAGGAAATCAGACATTTTGACGAAGTGTTAGTGTTTTCCTTAGTCAGGTAGGCTTGGTTAACTGGAGAGTAAGACTAGTTCAAGATCTGCAGTTAGTAAAGTCATTGAACTCCAAGTTTGTGTCTGTGGTTGGAGCAAGGCGACAACGGTCAGGGGTTTGAAGGGTCATCAAAGGAAAATGAAATGCTTGAGAAGGGACAAGGGCCACGCATCGATCAGGACTTCTTGCGACTTCTTGTTTGATCATGGTTGGAGCTAAACTCTGCAGGACAGTGGCCCTCTAGGTTTTGAGAAACCCTGATCTAGGGTTTAGCTTGGGAGGAATTGCATAGAGAGAACCTATGTCACTTCCATCAGACATACCACCTATCAATCCATCAGAATACCAAATGGAGATCTGGAAAGAGGTAGAGCAGGCTGTGAGAAAGGCAAGGGCTTCATCATCTCCAGGGCCTAATATAATGGAGTTTCAGAGTGTACGAGAGTGCTTCAGCAGTACTGCTAACAGGATAGATAGTTCATAATCAGACAAATAGTTCAAGAACAGCCTTCTTGGCCAATACTGGACAAGCAGAGAGTTTATGGATGGCATCCTTGGCCATAAGAATAACAGAGCAGACTGAGAGTTCAGATTCAGGCTCCTTGGCCTTGAAAGATCAGACAGAGTTCACAAACATGCACCACTGCCTCTGGAGCTGTAGTGGTCACGGCCGCCTTGGGAGGACCTAAAGAAGTGTGTGTGGCCCAAACACACAAAGATGGTAGTAGCTATCACAAAAAGTGCAGATAACAGTCAAAGTAACTTTAGGACCACACTCTGGACCACCGGACTTGAGTGCGCTGCGACCACTGTGTTCTGTGACCACTCTCATTATGAAAGTCCAGAACAAAGATTAAAAAGCTTAATCACAGTGGCATAAGCCATGGAACATGGCAGGAACTTGCTGAGCACCATCCTGATCTTAGGGGTCTTTAACATTTACTAAGGTCAAACTTCATAATTCTTAATTTGAGTGACTGCCAGCACTTTCTAATGCACAAGTAAGTGTAGTGTATGGCTGTCTGTCTTCTCAATTTATATGATTTTCAACCTCATCAGAGACATTCGCACTTCTCACTTTAACTGCTATCTAAAATATTAAAAACGGAAGTGGATCTGTGGACCACAGATCTAACAGGTAGTGATCTGCTCCTGGCTCTGAGATGGACTGGACAGCTTGCTTCAGCTCGGGGGAAGACCCAGGCAACTGGTTATATACAGTATACTATAACTATATTATATGTATATATAGATAATCAGTAACGGAGTAGGCAAAACAGGAACTAAAAGTGTCTGTTTTATTATCATGGTGTTTTGGTTTCCCTGTTTGGCTGTCTTCCTGCCTGTTCCCTGGTTTGCTTGGTCAAACGTTGCTCTGCCTGTGTCATGGACTCACGGGCCTTCAGCTATGTTTCGTTCCTCCTCCCCTTCGACTATTCATAATTTATATATTTATAAACTGTGTTTATCCACCCCTAAATATCCTGTAGTTCTAAATATCCTGCTTATGTCGTTTTAGTTTCATATTGTTAATTATTAGTTTCATAGGTTGTTAAATCTAAGACGAACTCTTTCATATTGCGCTGCATTATTACTGTCAGTCAGTGTTGTTGACTATTAGGCCTACCAGAGATTTGTTATCACTGACGGTAAGGTTGCACTGTTGACGCTCGCACAGCCTCTCCAGCAGAAATCTACACGAATGAGCGCAGAACACACTCAGTTAACAACATATTGCCTATAAAAATCTAAATGTGGAGTTTTTATATTTTTAACATATGTTATAAGCAACCTCCTTTATTTTTCCTTAACACCATCACGATTGAAAATGTGACTTCCTACAACAGTTCAATAAACAGGTAAAATTAAATCACTTACATTTTAGATGCTATATTGGCTGTTTTTGTTCTGTTTCAGCAGCGAAAATAGTTCCAAACAAAAATCACAGCAGAATGTCTTGCTGAACACTAAACCTGTTTTCATTACTGAATGATTCAGCATTTTGAACAAATCGATTGAGTCAAAGATTCAATGACCCACTCATAAACATCTGTCTCATTCTTGAATGATTAGCCGTTTGAACAAATCGTTTGAATTAATGAATCAATGACTCACTCATTAAGACGGTCGTCTGCCGCCACGTACTGGCGGTTTATTGTTAAATGTTTAAAAGTAGCATAATTTTTTCCACGTTTCCTATATGTAAATTTAAATAATTTTCACAACATTATTTCATGCAATTGTAATTTTTCAGTGTAAATGATTTAATTTGATCAGCCCCCTATAGTAACAGCCCTATAATGTCGTA